AAAATCGTGTTTTGGGCCGATTTTAAGCAGCCACTGCGTCTGATCCGAGGCGGGCATTTTGCTCCCTCAACGGGCAATCGGTCTTTGGACCTTCCTTTAGCATGCCTTTGTTACGGAGTGCAATTATCAGTCTTAGTTTGGGAGCAGTATTGTCTCAAAGTTGGCCGAAACGCTCAGAAATGTCTATGAAAAATCGTGTTTTGGGCCGATTTTAAGCAGCCACTGCGTCTGATCCGAGGCGGGCATTTTGCTCCCTCAACGGGCAATTGGTCTTTGGACCTTCCTTTAGCATGCCTTTGTTACGGAGTGCGATTGTCAGTCTTAGTTTGGGAGCAGTATTGTCTCAAAGTCGATCAAAACGGTCGCAAGTGTCTTTGAAAAATCGTTGTGACTATTTTGGTCAACTTTGAGACAATACTGCTCCCAAACTAAGACTGATAATCGCACTCCGTAACAAAGGCATGCTAAAGGAAGGTCCAAAGACCAATTGCCCGTTGAGGGAGCAAAATGCCCGCCTCGGATCAGACGCAGTGGCTGCTTAAAATCGGCCCAAAACACGATTTTTCATAGACATTTCTGAGCGTTTCGGCCAACTTTGAGACAATACTGCTCTCAAACTAAGACTGATAATTGCACTCCGTAACAAAGGCATGCTAAAGGAAGGTCCAAAGATCAACTGCCTGTTGAGGGAGCAAAATGCCCGCCTCGGATCAGACGCAGTGGCTGCTTAAAATCAGCCCAAAACACGATTTTTCATAGACATTTCTGAGCGTTTTGGCCAACTTTGAGACAATACTGCTCCCAAACTAAGACTGATAATTGCACTCCGTAACAAAGGCATGCTAAAGGAAGGTCCAAAGACCAACTGTCCGTTGAGGGAGCAAAATGCCCGCCTCGGATCAGACGCTGTGGCTGCTTAAAATCAGCCCAAAACACGATTTTTCATAGACATTTCTGAGCGTTTTGGCCAACTTTGAGACAATACTGCTCCCAAACTAAGACTGATAATTGCACTCCGTAACAAAGGCATGCTAAAGGAAGGTCCAAAGACCAGTTGCCCGTTGAGGGAGCAAAATGCCCGCCTCGGATCAGACGCCGTGGCATGTTAAAGGAGGGGTCCCGTGGGGTCGCGAAATTTTTCCTGGGGGTCGCGGAAATTTTTGGCTTCAAATTTGGGGTCGCGAGCCGAGAAAGGTTGAGAACCGCTGCCATAGGTGTCACTCGCCGCAGTCCGCCGGCCAGCGCGCCAATCAAGCTCATTGATGGACGATCGGCGCCACTTGCGCGGCAAAACCCTCGGCTCGGCGTGGCCGAGGGCGCAGCGGCACCCATCCCCAACCTGGGAGACCGGGTTCGATACGCGACGTCTCTCTAAATTCACCCAAAACAAACAGGTGCGTGCAACGCGCCCGCTCCCTGAGAAGGGATTCCACGCGGTTATCATCGGTTTTCCGACAGTCTTGGCATAATTTCTTGAAGCAAATTTAAATTGCTTACGGCAACGACGCATGCCGCTGTGCGCCGGCTGTTTCGCCAGCAAAGACTCGACCGCCCGCGAACGCCGCGAACGCGAACCCCACATGCTGCCGCCGCTTGCCGCCGCCACCGCCGCCGCGCTGCCCACAGACGACTACGACACTGAATCATCTCACCGCCTCCTCGATGTTCACTTTTCCATTACAAAAGCGTTATAACGGCACTTACGTCCACTCAACTGGACGGCGCCGCGCATGCTGCGCAATCTGTGCCGGTAAACGCCGCCATCATGACGTCACCACTGCCTCGCTCGAGTAATGAGGGATGTACGATGCACTGTACAGTCGCAGAAACGACTGTTTCACAAACCGGCCGCGCTGGCGGGGCTGGCGGGGCTGGCAGGCTGGCGGGCTGGCGGCGTGGTTCTGGCAGCGTAGTCGATAACTCACGACAAACTATTTGCCCGGCCGACAGTCTCTAACTGGACGGACACACTCCGCGCCAGGCAAGCGGCCACGCACCGCGCACCGCGCCCGCCAAACCTGGTTTCCGCTGTCCTCAAACTGTCGCCTCGGGAAGGAGCCCAGGACTATAAACACGCACCACCCACCAGGGCCCTTGCCCGCCTCTAGGCCCGCCTCGCCTCGGTTTGACGAGATGGAACGGCGAGCACGGCCTATCCACAACACAGTCCCAACTCCACAGTTGGCAGCCCAAGTGAGACAGAAATGACGCAACCACGCCCGCTCTTGTAACGCGGCGCCTGGGAGGTAGACACACACACAAACACGCGCACACGAGGTGCAGTTGCTGGTATTTGAACCCGGAACCTAGCGGTAAGCGCGGGTAGCGGGGCTCCTGGGGTCGCGTCCTCGCCGTCCGATGTGTTAGTGCCGCAATCAGGCTAAGCGGGGCGAGGATCTCGAACCAGGCGGGGCCCATCCGGTCGAGTGGCTCCCGCGACGACGCCACCGCCAGGACACTGGCAGGACGCAGGGTGCGTGTCGCGGGATAAGTCTAGGAACCGGACTCGGGACAAGTCCGGCCAAGCCGCGCGACTCCCGGCCGGGCAGATGGCCCGCGGAGTCCGGATTGGTCGCGGCCTTGCCGGCCTTGCCGCCGCCGGGCCGCTGACGGGTTGATGGGGCCAGGATGGCGCTGAGCAGGAGTTACACGCGCCGGAGAATTCGGGAGGCAGATTGGGGTTCCGCCCATAAGGCGCGAGGTGGAGGCTCGCCGCTACAGTGTAGCTGCTGGAGTGGAGAGCGGCTAGTCTTTTCATGCAGGCGGTGAGCGTCCCCTCCACGCCCCTTCCCTTCCACGGGCGGCCGCTCTATTGCGGCCAATTAAGCAGAGTGCGTCGCCTGCATCGTCTGCATTCCCAGAGCCCCTAATGATGGAGGGCGACTCCCTGCAACACTTTTGGCGCGCCCGCGCTGGCCGCGCTGGTCACTGGCCGTACTGGCTCACTGGAGCGTCCGCCTGGAGTTCCAGGGCGGGGCGGGGCGCGGCCTCTAGAGCACCGCTGCACGCTTGCTTCGCTTGCCCCGGCCCGGCGTGCCTAGAGCCCTGCCCTGCCCGGCGTGCCTAGAGCCCTGCCCTGCCCAGCGTGCCCCGGCCTGCAGGCCAGCCGCGAGGCCCGAGAGGCCAGCACACCGCATCTAGATCGCTGGGCGGGATCTTGTCACGACACGGCCCTCTGGCTCGCCTCTGGAGTCCTGCGGACTCCTGCGGAGCCCCGCTGGCTTTCGGACAGCAAGCCTGGCTGCTTCCAAGATTTCAGGTCAGCAGTGCAGGACACTTGATGGCGCCGGAAAGGAGGACACGTACTGGACCAGCGGAAAAATAGTAAAAACGCGAGAGGCAGGCAGGTGGAAGTCTCGTTCCCGGCCAAGGTTCGTGACCTAGGCAACGTCATCCAAGCATTAGAGAGCTGTCGATCGGCAGGGCCCCGGGCTCGACGCGCTCTTTTGCAACCACTTCGGGACCACTTTGTGACCACTTTGCGGCCAGCCCGGCACGGACACGAACCACGAACGCACCCCGCGGTGCAACCCAGCCGCGAGACATACCGAGCGAACCACCCTGCTGCTTCTGTCTCTCTCGCACTCACGCGGCGGCCCGTAAGGCTCTTAGGGGTGCGAGAGAGACGGAGCAACGGAACGGCGCGCGGAACCGCTCCGGCAAATGAAGGAGCGCGAAGGAGCCCGGCCAGGCGAAACGCGAGGCGCGAGACACCGCTTGCATGGACCGCAGCAGTGCCGGCAGTGCCAACAGTACCAGCACCGAGTACCAGTACCCCGCCCCCTGCCGCCCTGCCGCCACCAGGCCGCCACCGGCGCAGGGGTCATCGCCTCCTCGACCGCCGCGCTGCCCGCCTGGCCTGGCCGGCCTCCCAGTGGTCTCCCAGGCACAACACCCGCCTGCGCGCCGCGCGCCGCCCTGGGAGCGCCGCGGCACCCGCCGCACCGCGTCAGGTCGCGGACACGTCGCGGACACTGCAACGCTACAACGACCTGCTCCGAGTGGAGCCATTTTGCACGTCCAGTAAATCGTTTTTCAAACAGTTTTTGCTTTTCTGTCGGCGTGTTGAACGCACCGCGGCGGACGCCCTCGCGTTATGCGGGTGGAGTGGATACGAGTGGATACCAGGCCGACTCGCCCCCTCGACCCGTACCGCACTCCTCGATCCGTCAAGCCTGCCATTCATGCGGCCTCTGCACCGCAGGGCCTCTGCAGGGCTTGACCACGGCCTCGGCCTCCGCGTCTCGGATTCCAGGATTCCGCAGGTGGGCGCGGCCTACCTGAGCCACCCGCCCCTTCCTTGGCTGCCCTCGGCCGACGTGCCTGGAGGGCTTGGCCGGCCTGGCGTTGTTGTGTTCCTTGTGGTGCAGCCTCGCCCCCATCCCGGCCTCGGCGCCGTGCACGCTGTCTCACTCGCACTCACGGGGCGTCCCGCAGGGGTGCGAGAGAGACAGAGCCACGGCGGCACAAAGGGACGAGAGGGGAACGGGAGAAACGGAGCGCAACTCGTGCACAAAAAAGCGGCGGGTCTAGAGGCGACCCTCGACCCCGCCCTGTTGCAACCCCAGCCCGCCCCAGCCCGTCTAACCCCTTCCAGCCAGCCAGCCTCACTCCGCCCCCGCCCGCACCGGCACCGTCCCCGCTGCACTCGCTGCACCACCGATTGCTGCCGCTGCTCCCCTCTCAGGGTCTGGATGAGTGTTTTATCACTGGCTGGAGCCGCTGGAGCGGCTGGACGCGACGCGCGGTGTTGCTGGGCCTCCACTGGAACCCCCGTGCCGGCGTACCGTCCCACCGTCCCGTGGGGCGTCACGTCATGCACGTCATGCACTCTGCCTCCAGCACGGCTCCAGTACACTACTAATTCATCGCCATCGCCGCCTCTCGCGGGGCGTCCAGTCGGGCTGCGAGAGAGACAGGGCGGCGTGACGCCCTGCGGAATGAGTCTGCAGAAGGGCTGCCCGGCAGACTAGACTGACTAGACGGCTCGGTTGACTCACCTTCATGTGACGCGGCGCCCCTCGGCCCGTGGTAATCCTTGTCGGGGCACATATCACTCCACCGCGAGCTCGCTAGCGCAGCTAGAGCCACTACACTCGATTTCACTCGCGGCTCGGCCCCTCGTTCGAGGGCGTTCGCTGCGCCAACTCGCCGAGCGACGGCGGCGGACCGGGCCGACGGACAGGACCAAGCAAGACCGCGCGTCAAAGTCCAGACGTCAACCGGAGGCACGGCGGCACGGCGTCGCTGGAGGCGTCGCGACGCTCAGGGCAAGGACACGCGGCACGCAACACGCTGCGAGCACCTCGACAACACGACTGACTGGGTTGGATGGAGGAGCTGTTGGAGTCCGCGGCGCGGGCACGGCGGCACGGCGGCGGCGGTGTTGTGCTGGCATGCTGGATGGCGGAGGGAGGCATGGATGGCTGCTCCCCGAAGACCCCCTCCTCCCTCCTCACATCCTGCAGAGCCGCCGGGACGCCTCGCCCCGCCCCGCCCCGCTCCCTCCCCCACCTGCAGCGCGTCCTGCCCGGCGTCCTGCGGGAGAGCGCTCCCCTCTTCCCCTCCACCTCTCCCCTCTCGTCACCCAGACGTCGTCGTCGGGGTCCGGCCGTCTTCCGGTGGGTGCCCGTCCGCCCGTCCGCCCGCTCCCCAAATTCCCTATTCCCGGCTGCCACCTGCTCCTGTTTTTCGTGGGGAGATTCTATTAATTTGAAAAATGCAATTAAAAGATGATGTGGTGTATCGTATCTTTGAGCGTCGAATGCGCCTCTCGAAGTCATTCTGCTTGCTGAGCTGTCGCTGTCGCTGTCTTCCTCGCCCGTTGCCCGTGTTGCCCGTTCTTGGCGCCAGACAGGTAGGCAACGCTTCGGCACGCCTGCATACCAGCACCGAAAGATCGCGCCAAAAAGAGCGCGCCGCTGATTGGTTGACTTCCCTGGCCGTCGACCAATCAGGACCCGCGCGTCTTTTGGCCGTTCTCTGGTTTCACTTCCATGACGTCCGAACGCTTCCCTCCTCGCGCGTCCATGGTTCATGGCTGCCGTCCCCTCCCCCTACCCCCCTCACCCCAAACACTATCATATCACGTAGTGTGTGTACATCTCACACAACCTCAACCAAAAACAACATAGCAAAACAGTGGGAGGAAACCCATGGACAGTAGTTCCGATGGCAGTACATTCTTTTCTGTCTTGCATTAGCTGAAACTAGAAGGAAACTTTCCATTCATCATGCTTTTACAATGAGCCATGTAAGTTTTGCCAGAAAGTTATTTGTCACCATTACAGTTGTTTTACATCTTTTGAAGATTCTTTCAAGAAAATCGTGCTGATCAGAACCCAGTCATTATACTTATTATAATTTTTGAAAATGTGATTGAAATGTGAGTCTTGTGAATGATGGCCATGTTCTATAATATTGTGGTTAAATTTGTTGTTAAAATATTCACTGTCTCCCTCCAACATTGTACAAGGTCTCCATTCATAGGTTAGAATGACCTTAGTTCCCATAGTGAGGCATTGCCATACTTCGATTCCTTTCTCTTGATCTTTGTTGCCTGTTAAAGCTGCCTAAATTGACCATGTGGTTCCATATGTTTCAGCTGTAACATGATGTCAACAGTGATGGCTGTGTCTGGTGGCTCTCAGGCATCAGGTAGTGGTGGTTTTCATTCAAAAGAACGAGAACAGTTGATGTCAGATTTACATGATGCTGTCAAGAAATGTCAAGTTCGATTTGGGGGGCGAGCGGAACTTGCTACTGAGTCAGATCCGCATGTCGCTGCCCTATGCAGTCGACTGGAAGCCGCTCTATCTCATGGATTACGAGTCAAACCACTGAATAAATCCAGCTCTGCATTTAAGTAAGTCTTGTCAATGATGATACATCGTCTCTGAGTATGGGCTGTGCAATCTATGTTAAAAACTTTCTTTTATTTAGGCAAATGACAGAAATTGTTTCTACCAGCTTATTGCTGAACCGGACTGAAACCAGCAGTCATGTATCTTTTTGGCATTATGTAGCTGAGCACCTGACCAAACATGAGTATGAACGCTATCTTCTTCTCAAGCAGGTTTGTTTCTTTTCCATATAACCATTTTTTTAAATATATTTAACAATGCAAAAGCGTATTGATTGATGAGTAATGATATAACTTTTCAGGTGTGGACTGATATTGGAAGAGGTAGAGCTTGGCTTAGGTCATCTCTGAATGAGCATTCACTAGAACGGTATTTACATTGCTTACTTGGGAATCCTCAACAAATGTCACAGTATTATGAAGACTGGTCATTGTTATTGGACCAAGAATTATCCAGCAACCTTCCAACTATGGCCAGAGGTGGTACAACTTGCCAATATTTCAATTTGTTAGATATCAAACTATGATGTTGTTTTAACTTTCAAAACATATTTTTTAGGCTTAGGACCTATTTTATTTGCTATTAGTATTGATAAAATAGAGTTGAATCAGTGGGGACCTTCTAAGGGTCCAAACAATAGTTCTTCTGATCCTTCCCTATCAAGATCGGAACCAATAATAATTGCTGATGTCCAAAATGGTAAATTTTTCCCAGTGGTTTGATTGTTTTGTGTAATCTTATTGTTATCTTTTCTAAACGTATGACTCATGTTTTCAGACAACAGTAGCTCTGGAAGTGGCAGTATGGGAAGCAGTGGCAATAAAAAGAAAACTGACAGCCGGAGAAGGAGGAAAGGCCCTGCTAATATTATTTCTTTCGATGATGATGACACTGTCTCACAGAGTATAAAGGCCAATATGAGGCCTTTTGATTTTAACAGTGCACCTGCTACATGTTTAAGTTCACCAGTCACTGTTCCTGTTACTGACTCTGATCAAAAAGGTGGCAGTGGTTCTTTCACATCTGCTGGAATCATAAAAACAAATGAACAAGTTGAGGTAACATATTTTTGATAAAAGTTTATTTGTCAATGAATCGAGGCTTGTTTTTAATAATAATAATCTTTTATTTTAAGGACCTTGGGAGTGGCTTGACCGAAAACGGTCCTGAGAAGCCTGTTACAGAACAAACATCTGTTGAACAGATTTTGAATACTCCTACAATAAATCCCTCTCCTCCTGTTGTAAAAGTAGAAATGCAATGCTCTGATGAAGAAGGAGATGTAACAATTAAGAGCAAATCTGGACACATATCAAGGTAGGTTTGGGAGATGCTTGGGAGATTTTCAGAAGAGGAAAAGAAGAAATAAATTAATGATCAAATTATTGATTTTGCAGGATAACTGAGCAGCTCCAGACCTTGACTCCAGTGAACAATTTAAATGTTGGTGAATTAATACCAGTGTCTATGAATGAGGAGGCCCATTCGGAAGAAGATTCACTCTCAGTTCCAAGCTATTCTGAGGTTTGAAAACTGCAGTACCACTAATACATTGAAAAAATTAGAATGTTTAATTTTAAATACAATAATAAAATTAATTTTTTTATGTTTCTAGGATACAGACTGTGCTGCTGCAGCCCTCATTGCAACACAGAAATTACTTCAGAACACTACATTAGACTATAATCCCCCTGAACAGCCCTCAAGCAGTGCTCGGACAAAGAGTAAAGTGGAACTTCCTGCCCATGTCAATGGTTCGTCCAGTCCTATGTATTTTATTTATTTTATTACCCATCCTCAACCTGAACCTTCAAATTTATCTCTTCATGTGCAGGTGAAGTACGAGATGCACTTCTTGCTGTCCTTACCCGCAAGGAAGAGTTACAAAAAGAAAATCGTCATTTGAGAAGAGTGATGGAGGAAAGCCAAGAAAAGGTTAATACACTTCAGGCAGAAATAGCTGAAGCATCTAGAGTCCATTCTGAAAAAATGGAACGTGTTGAAAATCGTTTACAATCTTTAAACAGGTATTTAATCCCTTCTACATTTTATGAGAGAGCGGTGTCCCATTTTTTACATTTAATAATAATATCCTTTCTTAACATCACAGGGAAAATGAATTATTGAAGCACCAGTTAAGAAAATATGTGGGTGCCGTTCAGATGTTGCGTAGGGATGGTGCTCAGGCACATGAAATGTTAAGTCAATTGGCTGGAGGGCAATTGGTTGGGGATCCTCCAGATTATCACTCAGAAGCTCGTGAATATGAAAAAAAACTCATTCAGGTACGAGGTTTCCAAGGCATGCTTCTACTTGGTACATTACTTCTTATGTACATCGCTCACAAGCCTTGAATCTTTCAGGTTGCTGAAATGCATGGTGAGTTAATGGAATTCAATGAACGACTTCATCGTGCCCTTCAAGCCAAAGAAGCTGTGTTACGCAGGCTGAGAGATGAACTTGTTGATTTACGAGGCCCCTTGCCAGATGAACCAGCAACCTCTGATGATGATGCCCACAGTGTAACAAGTGATTATGATGGAGGCTCGATTTGCACCGCAGCACGTGCATTGGTCAATATATGGGTACCTTCGGCTTTCTTGACTGGAGGCTCGTCTGATGTTCATCATGTTTATCAAGTGTTTATAAGAATAAGAGATGATGAATGGAATATATATCGTCGCTATGCCCAGTTTTATGCCCTTCATAAGGACTTGAAAAAGCAAGATGCTGTGGTCGGAACTTTTGATTTCCCTCCCAAAAAGGCCTTGGGAAATAAGGTATGTAATTTCATATCTTACTATATTTGTAACAATAACTTAAATAATGATGAGATTAAAATGATTCTTTTGGAATTACAGGACGCTCGTTTTGTAGAGGAACGGCGTAAAAGACTTCAACATTATTTGAGATGTGTTATGAATCATTTAATTCAGTCTAATGCTGATCTTGCCTCTTCTCCTGATAAGGAAATTTTAGTGCAAATGATTCCATTTTTTGGGTAGGTGCCAATTTTTTTTATTCTAATTTTTTAAAATGTCTACCTTTAGCTCTTCTAACAAATTATGTTCATTTTCAGAGAAATGTGTAATGGGGGTGATGATAGGACACGCAGAAAACGAACGAGTTCCCGAAATCCCTTTACTCGACTTACACGAGTGAATCCTGAAATTCAGCCTGGTGGCTCAGCTCCTCAGTACACTGGTCTGTAATTCAGTTTTTGAAATAACTTGCTCAAGGGCCGTGTTCCGTCCTCCACACTTTCCTTCCTTGATAACGTCATTTGTGTATCCATGTAACACTGATCAATACAAATAGGTATTAATGTATCCATAATGTTTCTGGAATGAAATGAAGTAGGCTTTGGATTTAAGCTTCAAGGGGGAGCCATGGAGAAGCCTCCTATCGTTATTGTCCTTGACTCTACCTGTCATTTCATCTGTGGGAGCACTTCTATTTGTTGGTGACACTGACACCTAGTTTTCTGCAGCTCCCCTGCAAGTTCCATTAAAAAAAAAAATTATCGTGTATGTTATGTAGTTTGCTAGTTCCCTGAGTGGTAGTTTTTTTACCTTGAACCAAACTTATTGTTATATGTACTAAAGAATCCAACAATCGTTGTTGAATTCATATTTATGAATTTATTTACCTGGAACTAGCTTACCATTAAGGTTTATCCTTCTTTTTCACATGTTGATATTCTGAAAGTTTTCAAAAGGATGATAAATTTTATGTCAATTATTGTAGTAATAGTTGAGGTGTCTTGTGATAGGAAGTGCCAATTCCAGCTGTAGGTATTACATCCTTAGTCATCACACAGAACATTTTCACTGAAGCAACTCTCTCAAGTCTTCAAAAACAAATATGTTATTGTGGTTATGGCTTGTTCCTATTTTATATTTCACACTGTTGATTTTATACATGATCTTTGTCTTGGTTTTAAAAATGATTGCCTCATCTGTTTTAAACTGTTTTGTCAATGTTCAGGAGCTTATTGTAGAAAATACTCAAAACTTCAAGTGTAATTGCTATTCATGCATCCACCAATCACTTAACTTCTCAGAGAAAAATTCTAAAGACCTTAAGATCTGATAATGTTTTAGCAACCTTAAACCTGGAACTTTGTAGTAATATTTGAATGAATATTTTTTAGAAACCGGTCATTGGTTGATTGTTTTAGTCACCACACCAATCATTTGCATGTGTTAGTGAGAACACATTTAACAGGTGTAATTGGTTTGATTTGTGATTGATATTAGAAGGTATTGTTGTGTAATGTAGTTTTCAACTAGTTGTTGATTTATTGTGCATTCCTTAATTGTCCATTGTGTTTGAGTTCTCCAGCTCCCAGTGTGTAAACTGTAATTTGTTTTGAAAAGACAGTTTTTTAATTGCATTCCAAAACAGACAAAAACTTGACCCAATCATGGTCAAAGTCAGTCAATGGTTCAATTATTAATTGCCCATTTTAATGCTTTTCCTCTTTTCCTTTGTTAATTTTATTAAGTTGGTTTTTGTTTGAATGTCCAGCAAGGTATTACTCAGTTAAGAGAGAGCTGGGTCCCTTTGTGATACAATTAATTTTGTTGTTATATTGTTTTGATGTAATGTTATTATTGTCATGTGCTATGCTTACATTTGCTTTCTTGTTCAATATGAACATATTTTTCATGGTTTGTTTCCTACTTTTCTAAGAAGGTATTATTCACATATTTTTTGTCCTGTTGTCATTATTACTTTTCAGAACAATTGGTGTTGTAGCACGACTTGCAATAAAGAAAAAGAAAAACAACTGCGTTTAGATTATCTTTTCTTGGCACCTCTGTCCTTTCCTCTTTAGCGAAGTCTCGAGCCGCGAAGGGTGATATTGACTCAAAGAAATTCAAACACATCTGGCCTTCCCTCTCCTTGAATGACCTTGACTGGTGTTCAATAAGCCTGGTGTGTAGGCTGCCAGCAGTGCCGTGGGGGAAACTAGCGGCCGTAAAATGGCGCTCGGAACCTCTTTCCCAATGTATGGATTGCATCCCTCGGACCCTTGACTCGATGGCTGACACTCGGCTTGCCTTACAGTGGCTTGCAGTCCGAGCTTTGGCCGCTCTCCGCTCTCCGATCTGGTTTCCGCGCCACAGAGGTAGTGACGCCCCGGGAAGTCCAAAGCCACACGCTACCAAGTACTGAGCGGCAATTGCGCAACGCGCCCCGCCGCCTGCACACTGCCAAATCTGCCGCGCCCGTCCCGGTTCGTGCTCGGGGGGAAAGGCGCGCGAGGAAAGGTGGACTAAACTGCCGGAAAATTTGAGGGCGCGCGAAACAGCGAACTGGAAACGAAAAGCGGGCACGGGCGGTGGTTGGCGGCGGTTGGCAGCGCCGGACGGCCGCACCGCAACCGGAAACGTATCCTCAGCGCTTCTAGTGGGTGCTTGGGGATGCCAAGCTTTTACGTACCTGTAACTGTGTCCTGCGCTTTTGTGCCAAATACCTTCAACTTAGCCGAGTACTCGCCGAAAGTACCGTCTCGGGGATCGACGGTCACAGCACGCTGCTCTGGGCGTGCGTTTTCGTGATTGTCCGAGCTGCCCACTTGTTGTCTAACCCGTTCCCTTGAGCGTGTGCGCTGTGCGCTGCCCCAGGGGTGAGTTTGCCCAATATTTCCTCTTCTAGCGTCGTTCTGGGGACGTAGGGTAGTCGCTCTGCAGCCCCCGACGTCCGCTTTGGCGAATGTGCCTCGCAGGTCCCGGTGCCGGGCGTTGTTACCGCTGCTGCGGCCTCGGAACGGAATCCCGCCAGTACCGCCCTGCCCATTGTGTGAAGCGTAGGCCAAGGGAAGTGAGTGGAGGTTAGGTTATCGTCCGCACTTGCCGTCCGAGTCCGGGAATTTACAGCAGAAGCGATCGAGTTGTTGTAGCTTTTCGGGGAATGTGTACGTGTTTACTTCTCAGTTGCTTCGAGGAACACAAACGCCGGCATAGTGTTATGCCGTAGATGCCTTTGTAAAACCCTACACAACCAGTGCTTGTTGTGAGATTTTTTGTTGCTGCCTGCCGTTTCGTGCTAAGTAATGAAATCGTTCCGTTTTTCATTACCTTTGAATCAAACAGATGCCGCGGTGACTAATTTGAACCTTGGCGCATCTTTTTAACTAGTTTTCTGGTGATAAGAGGCTTTGGAATTTTCTTTTGGAGGCTTTCTGCGAGACGGGGGAATAGGGTTGATCTGCTTGTGTTTTGTGTATGGCAGGCTGTTTTTAGGCATGCAAAGTTCGATTGCGATTTGTGGTGTCTCCTTGAGTTTTTGCTTTGATTGTAGTCGGACATCTCTCTGTCTCCTTCTGAGATTTATTTTGTTCTCAATTCTTTGTCATCTGCTTCACTGTAATGAAGTAACTAGACGGACCTCAACTCATCACACCTAGAAATACCTTAACAGTATTTTTTAAACAATAATTTGATACTGCCATTTCTTGTTTTTATGATTCCTTTTATTATTAATATTTCAAACTGGCCACTTCCATTTCATAATGCCAAATGCCAAGCTTCTGTGTGAAAAAAAATAACAATGCTTGTTTGTTAGGTTACTTCATCCTATTGTCTTGTCTGATTTTAATGAGGTTAGATTTGTTGACTTTGTTTCCCACATTTTGATAGTTTTCTGTCTTTTTTCAGAACCAGAATTGGACTGCAGGAAGTTCTTCAAATTATCTTGATCGGAGAAATCGCTCACTTTCTGCAAGGACTAGAGCTCATCATGATTCACTCATCAACTACAACTCGAAACACTAGGTAATATAATCTCTCAAGTACACCACTTTTACTTTTATTTTCTCAGTATGTGGGAAGGCATATTCATCACCTTATGTCTCTAATATACACTATTGACAGTGATTAAATAGTCGTCACTTCTGTTTCCCTTACATACACATATTTGTGTTGTGCCGTGTGTTCTGGACTAAAAATTGTTGTTCTTTTCAGGATTATTTAGTGGATTAGAATCACTTTAAAGTTTTTAGTTCATGAGCTGAATTGATGTGAGTATCTCCACAGTGTAGTCAGTTGTTTCTTTTAATCTTTATGGATTCATTTTAATGTGCTCTTCTCTCTTTTTTTTCAGAAGTCTGCACTTTTTCATGCTGCTTATGCTCCTAAACAGTCTATCAACCTTAATTTTTATTCATGTAAGTTACATTTTTCTTGAACACCAGGACCAGCCATTTTTGTTAAATAAATCATCGTAGTTCATTCAGTGTGATTGTTTCATCAGAACATTGACCTATGTAGATCTGATTGCAATCACTATAGAAAGCATATCTTTTTGAGGCTGTGTATTTCTCCAATTATTTTACTGATTGTTGTGCATACTATATGTTAAGAGCACAATTATCATTTTCCCTTATTTTCCTTTCTTAGGCTTGCAATGTGTAAAGCTCTTAATAATTTTCTTAATTTGAATTATATCTAATCCATGTTTTCTCCTTTTCTTTTTCATAGATGTGTGTGAAGCATGGCACCAGTAGGCAAAACTATTCCCCATGAGAATGGGTTTCTATCGAAAGGTGAAAATGGTCACAGCAATGTGTTGGGTGAGGGAACTAGACTGTTTCCTGAAGGAATCTACATTAAAAGCGAAGAGGAAGAGGAACCAACCTCTTATGTCGCAATGAATGGGGATGAAGGAGTGGTCATCAAGACAGAAGAAATTAGTGATGATGAATATGAGAAATCTGATGTAGATATTTTGGATGATATCAAGTCAGAAAATGAAGAGGGTAGTGACAAGTCGAGCAGCCAAGGAGATGACATCACAGAAGAACCTGGGAAACCTTTGTTGTGTAGAGTTTGTGGAAAGCAATTTACAAGAGCTTTTTATTTTAACCTGCATGTCAAAACTCACGAAATTTCAATTGCGAGTATCCCTAACAAGCCACATAAATGCCAGGAATGTGGTAAAACATTCGCTCTACTGCAGCATCTGACAGGACACTCAAGAACTCACATTGCAAGCAGATATTTTGAGTGCCCCATATGTCGAAGGAAATTTACAGAACTGTCAAATCTCACCATGCATTTGTTGAAAACGCACCCTGATGAAAAACCTTACAAATGCTCTGAATGTGACAAGCAATTCACACAATCATCGGCTTTAAAGAAGCATATGAGAACTCACAGTAGTGTTATGTCACAAGAGGAAATTGATCGAATTGATATGTTGTTTTATGTTGAAAACTGCCATGAGAAAGATGGAGATGAGCCTCTACGGAAAAAAATCAAACTGGAAAAAGAAGACGAAAGGACTACCCCAACTAAAGAAACCTTCAAGGAGAAGGGAAGACAGGATGACAAATCTCCACCATCTAAAGGAAAATCTCCAGCCCAGAAAGAAAAGTCAATATCACCTAAGAGGAAATCCCCTGCAAAGAATAAGGGTTTTCATCTTAAAGCTGCCATGGTTGAAAACCCAGTTGTTGAAATCAAAGAAGAAGATGTATCCTCTGACAATGAGCAAACACCCACTAGCATTTCTTCAATCAAAGAGAGAGTACCCTCTCAAACTAGGATTAACACTCTTTCCCCAGCATTGTCACCAAGTTCAGATACCTCCGCCGAATCAAGAGATTTGTCCAATCTAGACTACGATGTTCCTCTGTCAGGCATGTCACCAGAAGTACCCGCTTACATTGGAGTACTGGCGGCAATAGAAAATGACAGCTCATCGTCATCAAATTCATCTTCAAACATGGAGGATACTGGCACGGAGCTGACAAATATAAGCAATGCGAAGAACTTGTCACCTTTAAGAAATGGTGCACCACATAATAAAGTACTTAGCCCTCATTCGAAGGCCATGTTACCAACACTTTGTCAGCAAAATAGTGATTTGTTTTCAACTAAATCATCTCCTCTTCAGTTATTGCCAGAAACCAATGAAAATGGTATGGTTACTGTGGTAATCAAAGAAGAAGTTGTAAACGAAAATGAAAATGTAGCACTAACCTGCAATGGTGATAAAAATTTCAAATCCAAGTCTGCTGCATTTATCTCTCCTGATAAAAATAAACCCAACTGTGTTTTAGGGCGAGAAGGCAAGAAATCTGATAAACGAGATCCAGTACCCTCCATAGAGAAGCCTGATGGTGTGTATGAAGTGCAGTACAAGTGTCATAGATGTGAACTGTACTATGATTCTGAAGAAAAACTTCATGAGCATCTAATGGATCACACTGGTGTTAAGCTGTGTGAGTGTCGGTTTTGTGGTAAAGATTTCACCAAAATGACTTCCCTGAAAAGGCATTTGTATTATCATGTTGCTGGAACCATTCCTCAAGATTGTACAAGATGCGGCAAATCATTTTCAAGCTTCAAAGATTTAAAGGATCACTGTGCAAATAACAAATGCATTGCTGCTGCTAAGACCCAGTTCAAGTGCTTTCGGTGTAGAAAAAATACATCGTCATTGAAAAGGCTAAAAGTTCATCTTTTGTCTCAGTGTAATGAAGAACCAGTGCAGTATTACCTTCCCAAAGAAGGAAGTGATAGTAGTTCAGCTGAAGTGGATTCTGATGGTGTTTCATCTAAGGACACTGCTTCAGGGGAAAGAGATAAAGATGACTCTGGATTCTCACAGCTTTCAAGTAGGTGGGTCAATCAAAAGTTTGAGAAAGCAGTCCCCAAAGAAGATCCCGACATGCATGCATTAAATTTGGAAGCTGATGATATAGAAGCGTTGCAGATTTTAAGTGAAGTGGACAACTCAAGTCCGTCAGATGAAATCTGGAACTATCAATGTGTGAGCTGTGAAGAAAAGTTCGAAACTGCATTGAAGGCTAAAGTTCATTCCAAGGAAGAATGTCTGGCTAGGTCTGGATCAGAAAGGTCAACGGAGAAAGAAACACTGAAAATCAAAGTCGTATTCGAGGAAGATGAAGATTTACAGTGCTCCTTGACTTGTTCTGAGTGTGACAAAAAAGTTGTTGGAGTTGAAAAGATGCTTCTTCACATTAAAGAGCATATTTATCAACGAAATAATCTGACCTGTCCCGTACTGAAGTGTGGAAAGCTGTTCAAAGACCCAAAAGAGTTTAAACTTCATCTTAAAGGTCACACAGGACATAAGCCTTTTAAGTGTGCTGATTGCGGAAAGCGCTTCTTTTTGCGTGAAAACTATGAGAACCATGCACAGAGACATGGCATTCTCAAGAATTGGAGTTCTTTGAATACAATTATTGGAGAATCGGGTGTTAGCAAAAAAGCTGCATGTGCCAGAAGCCCCATAACTATAGAGTCGACTATTGCCAATTTAGAAGCAGCTGAACCTGATGTGGATAGGAAGCTGAGGTGGACTCCCCATGCAACCTCCCAACCAATTAGTGAACGTGATGAATTCAAACCTTCCAAAAGCATAAAGGTGGAAAAAAGCATAAAGACGGAGAAAAATATTAAGACGGAGAAAAACATTAAGACGGAGAAGAACTTTAAGACGGAGAAGAACTTCAAGACGGAGAAAAACTTTAAGACGGAGAAGAAATCTTCAACAAACTTGCCTGCTGTCTATAGACAGGCCAATCATGCTGTGTACAAATCTAAGCCAGCCATTCTCAAACCTTCACCAATTGCTAATAAAGCGCCTGAGAATGTCAATCGATCTCCACCGCCTATGATTAGAGCTGCTGCTCCTATGATCAGAACTGCCGCTCCTATGATTAGAACTGCTCCTCCAATGATTAGAACTTCTGCTCCTATGATTAGGACTGCTCCACCAATGGTTAGGACTGCTGCTCCTATGATTAGAACTTCCGCTCCTATCCACAGAACTGAATTATCTATCCATAGATCTGGGGTTCCTATTAATCTAACGGTCAATAGGCCAGTACCATCTCTTATTAGAACTGGACCTGCTATCATCAGACCCATCAGACCTGTGCCTACTCTAAACCGTGCTGTGTCTCCTGATGAGAGACCAATTCATACTTCTGCAGGTTTCTTATCTCTGACATCTGCTTTCCCTGTTTCTCAAGCAAGATCATTTGCAATTACATCACCGCCAAGCAGCAAGACTGTATTCTCTGTTGCAAATGTCTCTACAGCCAAGTTTGGATTGAGTCCGAAAAATTCCAATGGACGCGCCCATCCTCCATCCTACTATCGCGTGTCTGAACACTCCAGGGCTCATATTCAAGCCGCAAATGCAGAATTGAGGAAGTACCCTCGGTCGGGTCGTTGCGAAGTTTGCAAGAAGATTTGCTCTCGCCTGGACAAGCACATGATGGTACATCTCAACCAGAAACCTCATCTATGCCCAATGTGTCCTCAAGCTTTCAGGCAAAGTGAGCATTTGAGGCGCCACATACGAGCAAGACATGAAGGCAACCATCGACAATTTGAATGTCCAAAGTGTCATAAAAGACTTACTAGGAAAGACAAGCTAAAGGAGCACATGAAAAACTGCATTCGTTTGGATGGTGATGTTAATATTAATAGTCCTTTAAGTAATTATAGTGATGATAGTCCTGTTACTCTTGGTGATAGTTTGTTTGACATGATACCTGGTCCACATCAACTCAATTTGCAAGGTCACAGTGTGGAATGAGGTCTACAGCTACCATTCTCTCTCTCTCTTTATAGACTAAGATTTTTTTAAAAGTGTAATTTCTTACCCATTATTTTTTCTTTTTATGATTTTCCTTGTTTTGAAGGAATTGTCCTGTTATTTTATTTTTAACTGCATTCTGACGTACTGGTTGCTTGATCAGATGCATTCTTTTCTGATTCAGTGCTCATATGAAAGGTTGTACTTCATAGGTTTTGTATTGTTTAAGTGAGTATTCTTTAATATGATTTATATTGTAAGGAACAGTTCCAGTGAATGTGAAATGACCTCTTAAACTAAGGTCTGTTCTGCTTTATTTTGTAATGAATTCTGTGCATAAATATCCTTTCTGGAAACTTCACATGTACAATGATTTCTGTTTGATCAGAAAATCTTGCTCTGCATGAGTTATGGCACATGAATGGTTTTGTACAGACCTAGTATACTTTTCTTTTTTCAATGCATTTTTCATTTTGTATTAAAACTATGTATTCATCATGTCTGTTGTAATTGAATTGAAAGTTATCAGTTTTAGTCTGATGCAGAAATGTATAGTTCCTATTTAACATACCTATTAATGCCACTTGTTGATTCTGATTCCCTTTGATTAGTTATGTTCTCATCATTATTATTGTTGTAGAGGCCTTAAACATTACTCTGACTATAAAGTGTTCCATTTTTGTGTAAAGTAGCATCACTCCAATGTCACTTTCTTTTTCTAAAAGTATTTCTTGTTTTTAAACTTTTGTTGTATAGTCTTTCAAGTGTCATGGCTGTGCCAGTGACCTGGTTAACCTTCTGTTCATTTGCTGAATTTAGCTTTGGGAGATGGATAGATCTTTGTGGTGATCATCACTGAATTATTTTGGAGTAATGCCTGTGTAACCAGTTCACTTTGTGACACAGAACTGAACAGTGCTGCTTTGTATGTAACTGCTTCTGTATGAGGCTATTTTCCCAATTTTAAAATCTTGTGGCGAATCACCATTAGGTGTTGGATCAGAACCCTGTTTTGGATTTTAACAAAAGCTTAGATTGAGGCAGTGACAATGTCAATGCTGTATATTTTAGGTATATTGTGATTTTGTAGCTGATAATTTTGTGGATTCTGTCCCTTTTGTTACCAGTATTGTAATTTTACAATTCTTTACTAATATTGTTTTGTAGTTGATTTTCAAAGTGTCAACCCAGTAATCGGACATCATGCCATTGTAGTTTTCTTTGTTCAAAATTTTAGAAAGCAAGTCTGATTAATGAATAAAGTTGCTCAGGCAAATGATCTGATTTGTAAGTTTTAAGTTAGGTACAAATAAAATTGCAGAACTTATCTGGCGTTTTATTAAGAAACCATGTCCATGATTTTCATACATCATAAAACTTTAAAATTAAGTCACATTCAAATAAATCAGCTTGGCAGCTTCACTTCATTACACCAATTCAATTAATATTGTTGAGAAACTTTGATCAAAAATTAAATAAATATATTCAGGTACTAGGGGAAGTATCCTTTTCATCTTCATGGGGTAACACAGTTTCCTGTTTAAGTGCAACACTTTTCAAGATTTCCATTCCTATAGCACGACCCATAGGAGGTGGAACAGCGTTTCCAACTTGTCTATGCTTATCAAGGATAGTACCATAGAAGCGATATTTATCAGGAAATCCCTGAGAGCGAGCACATTCCCTTACACTAACAACTCTTGTCTGTTCTGGATGCAACACCCTTCCCTGCAGCAGAAATGATGGGAAAAGAGGATTAATTTAATTTACTACAGTCAAAAAGTTGTGAGAAGGTACTTGACATTTTATTACCTGCTTGCCCATGGGTTCAGGATTAGTGACAGTGGTTGAGAAGAATCCATCCCATTCTAGTCGGCCGTAAAGCCCAGCCCAATGGTTGTGCCTGTTTCCAGTGTGAGGTAGGCACCATGGAATAAGTGTGTTGTACTGACGGTCCAAAGGATCACAAGCTTTGCCTTCGGCACAAGAGCACACTCCCCTGTATGCACCCGATGAGGATTTGCCATTTTTCTTGTCATGATGAGTGTAAACCCTGGAAAAAGCAAAATATTTCATAGGAACAGAGGTGAAATGAGATTTATAAAAGAATCTGTGCGAGCACTTAGTGTGGCTTCATACAATTTATGAGCTGTTTTTCCATCCTTTAGGAGAATGTCAAAATTTGGAAGGTCTCTCCAGTCTGAGCCAGATGCTGTCGGGATATTAGCAATGCGAGCTTCCACAAGAGGCGCCATGTCTTTGCAAATGTGGTCACGCAGAATGGGTTGATACTGTTGGGCTCGAATCTGAAGGGAGTAAAAAGGATTATCAATGTCTAGAATTGGTTGCATGGTGAGGTTAGCGTTAAAAAGTGTCATGGTAAACTACCTTCCGCTGGAAATCTGAAAGTGCCTCTCCTCCATAAGGCATTTCTTCTTTGCTATGACCATTGAGTATTTCAGGCAAGTCAGACATAGCATCACGCACAGTGATAGTTCGTAGAGGAGCACATCCAACCCAAGGACATGATGGTTTGAACTGAAAAGCAACATTTCCTTCAGAGTTATTGATAATTTAACAGTGTGCTTTTAATCAGAACAGCTGTGAACGGTGAAGAGCCAGGGGGAAGGTATCAAAGCCACTGCTTACCTTCTTATCATCTACAACAACAGAGAGTCTGCACGCACGGGGATTGAACACATGCAAAGGAGCTGGTAACTGTGGTAATATTTCTCCAGGGGCAGCAGCAATTATAATAGCCCTTTAAATGGTAATTTTTTTTATAAGTACATTAGCACACAATTTCAAAGAGAAAAAACTAGAAGTCATTGCTCAGCTCTGAATTACCTGCGACGAGTCTGGGGAACACCAAAATTGCCAGCTTGTAATATTCCAAAAGTGCATTGGTAGCCCATTTTTACTAGGCATCGTAGTGTTAACTTGAGGACAATACTTCGCTTAAAAGCAACAAAGTTACGCACATTTTCCAAAATAAAGAAACGGGGACGGTAAAAGTCACAGTATGATAAATAAGTGACAATCAAGGAATTCTGGAAACATGAATAAAATCCTATGAATATTTGACCTCTTCATTGGCTTGAATAAGTACAATGTTATTACTTACTTTGAAAAGAGAGTACTGCCGTGAATTAAATCTGTTCATTCCACTGAAACCCTGGCAAGGAGGACCACCACAAAGTAGATCTACTTCACCTCTCTGGGGAAGAACTTGCTTTTTGGAAGTCATCTTCTGACCCTTGATACAAAAAGAAAAATGGTGGGTTAAGAAGTGAAGTACAGTACAGACATCATGTAACCTAGAAGGCAAATCAATTGTTTTACCTGCATTGCAAGTCTCAGCAGCATGTTACAATCCTCAGAGAACACAGTGGCATTGGGATTGTTAAGTTGGAAAGCATTAGCAGCTGCTTCCTCATTCTCTACGGCCCAACAAGTTTCTGAAACCCCTGCCTGGTGCAGGCCTTCAGATAATCCTGCAAAAGTTACCAGTGATGTCAGCTTACAAAAGTCATAGTGCAGAGAAACAGTTACATTCAGTCAAAGCTCTTCAAAGATTACCTCCGCAACCAGCAAAAACATCAAGAGTTTTCAAACGCTGAGATACAGATGGCCAGGCTGGGGTTTGAGGGTTTGCCTTGTCATTTGCTACTGCATTCATCTTTCCTTTGCCTTTACCCTTACCCTTTCCCTGGGAAAAAATGAAATCAAATCCAACTGTTATTATTAAAATGTATTATAAATTTTTATGGCATGGGAAGGAGAAGTAACAAACTGACCTTTCCTTTTGAGCCCACACAAGCAGCCTTTGATGGGGGATCGTCAAATGTTTGTGCCTTGGCATTGTAAGCTTGGCTGAAATAGAAACGATCCGGGCCACCAGATACCCACTCAGACTCATTGACCTGTAGATTTTCACTGTTCATCAGGTAGCATTTTCCTTTAACTTTGGAAAAGTCCACAACTTCCTCTAAACGGACAGAATAAAATATTTTGTTACTACAATGACAAGGAACACAAGCATACCAACGACCTCACGATCTCACTGTTTGTACCTTCATCACTCCAATACAACATGTTCAAGTCATGTTGGTAGGCAGCACTAATTCCTTTGTGTGTGTTTTCTGGGCGATACAACTTAGTAACTCGTAGAAAAATGTCACCAACACCCAAGACTTTAGAACGTGAAAATATGGAAGTGATATAGCCAATGCAGAATGGTTCGGGTGTTTCTTCGTTTGAGCCCTTAATATAATCTGAGTACTTGCGATAATACTCTGGGTACATGTCTTCATCAACAGCCTGGGGGAAAAAAAAAATAAAAACCATGGGATATTCTCAAATAAAAGCTCTGATTGTGTTCAACAGTTCCACCCATTCTCACCTGATCAACCCCCTTACGCCTTCTTTTTGAATTTGATGAATTAGAAAATTTGAAATTGAAGGTGCCAGGCATCAAGTAAACACCTTGACCCTCTCTGTATTCTTCATTCTTCCAATGCACAACACCATACCTCATCTTCAGAAGCAAAATAAAAAGAAAAAGATTTCTGTTATGATTTCGTTAAAAATTAAAGATTGCTAAGTTCAAAACTAGGCAGCAACTCTACCTCTTTATTTTCTTCAGTTTTAAATTCACCAACTCTGATTATGCTCCTCCTTTCATTTAAGAATTGTTTTTCACATGAAACACAGAATTTATGAGCAGATTCATCTTTTGGACAGGGAGGATTAGCAGGTGGATCTTCGAATCTGCCCAGTTGAGTATTGTAGTACATTTGATAAAAAAAGCTTTTCCCATCATCAGTAAAATTTTCATCTTTTTCAGCGTCTCCATTACACGTATGCCTATTCCTAGATGGAGGCTTGTAAATAACTCGGGCAACTTGACTTACAGCTCCGAGGGGTATATCATGACAAGCATCAGCAAGGAATACTTCACATGGGTCTGATGTTTCACCAAGAACTGTATGCACTCCTCGACTGTATGAAAAAAGGAAAACAAAAATCATAAAAATTAATAACATGTTGTTTAGTTAATGTTTAAGACAGTTTTCCTCTTCTTGTAACTTACATAAACCAATGAAGATGGACCTTCTTTTCTCCTTTAACACTTTCCCACATATAAGCCACCCGAGCAATGAAAACCGGAACTGAGGGATCTTTTGGCTCCACAAGGACACAATCATTGAGTCCAAATTCAGAAGAACCTACTCTAACACGACTTTAAAGATAATAATAAAATAAGATTAGTACCTTTTGCAGAAGCCTCACAGAATATATAAATAACAAAGCAACATGAACATATACCTGTAGAAAGTCCTAGTCTGATCAGCTTTAATAGAATCACCAATCCACTCAACATTTCTCTTTCCTCGAGCAACTCCAGAAGTTGGAGCCTTCTCAGTCCAACTCATATTCCGATTATCGGCAAGTAGCTCATACTCATCCTCATCTTCTGGATCAGAGTCATCTGCTTCTTGTACAGCCAGATTCGGGCACCTGTTGACACCGAAACCCATGTAAATTTAACAAACTTGCTCTCCACAAGACATTTAAATCACAATTCAAAACTACCTTCTTTGAGTACAGGCTTGTTTACTTCTTCCACTTCCACCAAACTTCACCATGTCTTTGCAAGCAGCACATGAGCCACAGTCTGGCATCTGACATGCCTCACAAACTCCGCATCTTTGCCGTCTTGGAGCCTAAGATTTGTATGAAAAGAAGAAAATTACTCCACTGCACAAAATTAAACAATACAATAAAATTTTAGCCAAACAATTTTGCCTTTAAACAGTGTTTGCACTTGCCTGGTTTCCCTTGTCATTTCCTTCATCTAGTTGATCAGTAAAGAACGTGTCAAAAAGATTCCTGACAAGCTCTGTTGTAGCAGCCTTTGTCCAAACAGGCTTTTTCTCAGTTGTACTTTTGCGCTCTGCTTTGCGCATAGCTCGCCTGCAGTTTGAAAAAAAATTACAATCTGCTTTAATATGCAGTTTTGAATATTAAATAATTAGGTTAAAACAAGCAACAAGACACACTACCTTTTTCCAAGGGTAACCCCAGCAAGTTTCATGAGTGTCCGCATGCATGGCAAAACAATGAGCAAATCTCCATCATTTCCAGCAGAATCAAAACTTTCAACTTGATCACAAATGAACTGAGCATGACGTAGAAGACTATCTTCAGTCAATTCCACTCCCTTTGGTGGAACTGTAGTCTGGAATGATATAGGGTGACTTAGTCAAATATCTCAAGATAAAATCAATCACATAAGAAAATTATTTCTGGAGTTCCATAATTACCTGAAGTTTGTTAAGCAGGTCTTCATAAGTTGGGTTTGCTTCCTCAATCAAAAACTCAATCACAATCTTGCTCATGTATATTTTCCCTCGCACAGGCTCCATAAACGGCTTGTACTTCTCAGATGGCTCCATTAGGTAATATTCTCCATAACCAGTGGAAATACCAACAATGGCAGATTCGCCCCCATCAAAGCCCGTTACAAACCACTCATTAATAGGCCCTAAATCCTGTACAGGAACACCATCTGGAACAAAAGATGTAACTTGAGCAAAAAGTCAACAAACATACTGTAAGAAACTTATTGCATACCTTCTATATCTGCACTTTCTTCATACACAGCTTTTATGTAACCAGACACATACAGCAATACATTTTTATCAATCAAACCAGTATCAAAGGGACAGAGATGGCCTTCCTTGTCATAAACACTGGGAGGGTGGAGTAAAACGATTAAAAATTAACATGTCATCTGATACCCAAGTTCAAAGGAGAATATAAATAATTTACCTGAAACATGTTAATTTATTTACTGGTCGAGCATCACTTTCGTTAACATCGCTCTCATCTCCGTTAAAAAGCGATAAACTAGGATTAGTTAGAGCAACTAATTCCTCAACAGCATCACGAGGGGGTCCTTCGTACATGCATAAATCAGGGCTGTCAAGCACTTGTCTGCAAATTTGGCATCTCTTGGGTGCTGGCACTGAATCCTTCACAGCTTTTCTAGAGGGTTCAAGTTAATTAGTGAAAGAAAATGAGAGCATGATTAAGTGATGAATGGGAAAACATGAGACATACATGTCACAACTATCATGAGTCTTTTCACGCTTGACTTTTTTCTTAGAAGGAACTTCCAAGCTCGTATTGTTGTCTTTCTCCAGCTCCATAATTTTTTTGATTTTTCTATTGTCATCAGAATCATTTGCACCATCATTTTTTGAGAACTCATCATCTTGGGAAATGGGCTTGGACTTTCCAGTCATATCCTGGGTCGAGTTTTTAAATAAACCTGAATTCAAACATTAACAAGTTACCAAAGGTATCTCCATTGTCATAAATTTACACCTTTATATTTGTTTAGAAAACAAACCTAAGGAGGATGATAATGAACGAGTTTTCCTTTTTTCAGGTACCCCTGAACTGATGGTAGTGTTAGATCTCTCCAATACAGCCGTGTCAGTGGATTCCTTTTCAGGATTTTCTGTTAACATATTTCAACAGTATCAGGACAGTTTATAGCAGTGCCAAACACACACAATTATTGTAATGGATTCTAATCATACCTAGCGTGCTACTGCTATGAGATAAAGCTCCATACTTTGATGGGTCACTTAAATCAATTGAGGGTCTTCCCCTACCACGGCCTCGTCCTCTTCCTCTTCCCCGTCCTCTACCTCTGCCTCTTCCCTGTGAGGGGGACATGACTTTCCGCTGTGGGGAATCAGTTTCAGAATCATTCTCTGATTTCTCCAAATCACGGTGTTCCATGTCATCTTCTGCTGACAGCTGGCTAGATTCTCCCAGCAACGGCAATGAAGATCTGCCCCGTCCTCTTGGTCTCCCCCGCCCTCTACCTCTTCCACGTGAGGCGCTCATGTCTTTTTGCTGTGGGGAATCAGCATCAGAATCGTTCTCTGATTTCTCCAAATCATGGTGTTCCATGTCATCTTCTGTTGACAACTGGCTAGATTCTCCCTGCGATTGCAAAGAAGGTCTGCCTCGTCCTCTTGGTCTCCCTCGTCCTCTACCTCTACCTCTTCCTCGTCCTCTCCCCCTTCGAACCAATGACTGGACTAAGGCTGATTCCACTGGATTTGCCTCTGATGAATTTTCTTCATGTTCATCTGAGGAATGCTGAGAATCGTCATGTTCTGAATGGGCAATGTCATCCTCACTTTCTGGCACTCTGAGAGCTTTATCAACAGTGCTGGTTTCTTCCATGGAGGTAGTAGTGATTTCTTCATCTGATAAACTTGTTTTCATGTCAGTATTTAATGTTGAAATGATGCTTTCATCAATAGTATTCATCAATGTCCGAAATTTAGCGACATAATCATCCTGGAAAGAAAAAGCACATATTTAATAATGTCTAAACTTTAATTAATAAGAAGTCCCGGTTCAAAGCAAAATACTACCTCTGATATTTCTGAAGTGTCGAATTGGCTCTGCAGTGCCTCAACTTTCAGTGAAAGAGGCGAGGGAGCTAAATGGGCGATCAATGCCCATCTCTTCTTAAAGTATCCGTTTTCGGTCAACTGACCATCAGAGAGGTCTTGCTGCAGCAGTTCCAACCTAAAATTGTCAACAAATACAGTAAGCCTACCACGACTATAACCTCATTAAAAAATAAAAATACACAAACTTTCTTATGATACGAACTTTGCTTGGATGTCGTCACTGCAAAGTGGCTCTTGTAAAGCCACGGAAGGCATGGCAATTCCACAATGAGGATTAAATACTGAATTTGCGCAAATTAAACGGGCCTGAAAACACCGGGCGATTTACAAGACCCCGGATATTTTCAGCGGGAAATGAAACCGCGCTCTGTTGCCAACATCTGATTGTTGCGTCCTGTAGATAACTTGTTTGAATAGACTCAAAGTCCGTTGAATTTCACGTCTCACAGTTATACTTACGAAAATAAAGCGCAGAAAACTGTGTTCAATTCAATTCAAAAGACGTCGTTTCATTCTTTTATCCGATAGGTTTTGCATGTTAAGGTTGGTTGTTTTCCAAAAGCCAGGAATTTTCCCTGTAGCTTTGTAGCTGGCGGTGCAAACAATCAACAGACGAGACGAGACAACAACAGAAAAGGAAATCAGAGAGAAGCACTCGACATCGACTGTCTGACTCATTACTACATCGAGTGGCTGGTTCCAGAGCCTGAGCCTATTTCTAATCCCATCGGCATCGCGTAGCGTTGTCGTGTTTGCCGTGCTAGGTTTGTTGAGTTTGTTTGCTTCTTACTCCCATTGCTCCCATTGCTCCCCTTTGCCCTTTCAAACAGACTGAGGCAAGCTCCACTTTTTCTGATTATGTTCTTGTTCTTTTAAAAATTTTCAAAATAAGTTGTTTGTGTTTGCTTATTTTAATTTCATTTTAGTCATTTGTAGATTTCTTTTGTTATTTGTGTAACTTTCAGTTCAGTAAGCTTTTGCCGCTGGGGTCTAACTCTGTTTCTTGTCATTTTCAGGTTGCTGAATATTCAAGCTTGGTCCTATGTTACAAGCATAAACTGGTTTCTCATTCAATAATTGTGGTGAGTTGTTTTTGTTATGCTCACTGCCTACTCATTGTATTGAGTAGGCCGATTCTCTGATGCAAGGCGTATGATTCATCCTCCATACTTCTTTGTCATGTGTTATCTGTTCCAGGGTCCATCATGGGGCGTCATGATGGAGACTGCTCTGTGGCTCAGGCCAAAGCAATGTGCCACTGTGCATCACGCCGTCTTGTTGTCCACGTTGTTGATGCTACTTCCCTTGTCTTCGTCCTCATCCTCCAGGCGAGCATCCTTAACTATTACATCATTCAGTATTACAAAAGTTCTGTCGGCCCTTACTTCTGGTTCATAGGAGACTTTATTTGTCTTTTTATATTTGCCGGTACTTTGACTACATCCTACCGGTATTTGACTCGATGTAAGGAGTGTCATCCATGTAAGGGTGATAAATCATTCTACCTCTCTCCCAAGCGTATAGTCGCAAATTTCCCCATCAGCAAGCTTGGTATGCTGCCATTGAGCTATGTATCGTGGTTTTTGTACTCTTGTCTACTTTTGGCAAAAGTTATTCTCATCTTCAAGTCAGAGATTCCGGAACAGGTGAAGCCAGATGAGGCATTTGGACCTCAGCTTTTGCAGATTGCCATTGCTCTGTCAGGAATTATCTTCCTTCTTCTTGTGGAAGGCCACAACTGGGCTGAACGAGGCTCTCCAAGATACATTTATGTGACAGGAGTTTGTGGCAAAACTGGTATTGAAATCCTGGATACTGTCTCGTTGCTGAGCATCCTACTTACTGCAAGCACCCAGAGCTTCTTGACCACTTCACTTGAGAACACTGTCATTATCCTGTCTGCATTCAACTTTTTCTTGCCAGTTTTAGCATTGTACAAATTAAGCTTGTGTGATTTTGCTGCCCATCCCTTCTCTCTACCCATTGGCATTCTCCACAATCTTCTCCATTTGTGCCTTGTAGATGTGCCCTTCCTGTGTGTTCGAGTTTATCTGTGGCTGTTTCACAAGCAACATGCCTCTATATTCATAATGAAAAATGTGTTCAGCATTATTTTAGTTTTACGTGGCATGTATCCGGACCTTGTCAAATTTGGACAGACATTCTGCCGTGTTAAACCTGCTGACACTGAGAATGGGACAGGCAATGCAACTGAGTTGGAAGGACTCAACAAACGATCTGGATCTGCAGATAATTTTGAGGAAATTAACCTTGGTAGTGGAGATAAGGATGAAAACCTGGTGCAGCCAATCCTGAAGAAAACTATCAAGTCTGCAGACACAACCGTGAAAATCTCAGCTTAGACTGTTGGGGCTTCTATGAAACACATTCTTAGAATGTGTCCAGTAGCAGTAATACCAAATTTTTGTAAATATCATGCATGTTTGTGTTTCAAATTCCTATTGCATTATTGTGTGATAGTAGAAATGAGTATGTCACAACATAGACATTTAGTCTTTACCAGTCTAACATATCTTCCTTTTCTCCTGTAAAAGGAACATATTGGTTTGTCGTATTCATGGTTTTACTGCTTGCCGTACTTTGGAACTTGCTTCCATATATCTTTCTGATAGCATTATATTGTGGATGAATTAGTACTATGTGTTGATTTTTAAAGTATTTCTTGCCAGAATAATTACACCAGGTTTACACTGGGGTTCTGCCAAAAGTTTGTCCCATGAGGGATCTTGTCTTACTCATTGGAACTAACTACATAATTATACAAAATAGCTAATTAAACTGTCTCAAGCAGTGACATAATGCTTAATATCCCATTTAAAGTCCTTTTGTTTCTCTTCCCAATTTTTTTCTTCCTTTTCTTTTTTGGTACTTTTGCTTTATGGTAATTGCAAGGCTGGTTTACACTTGCCCTGTGATCTCAAAAGACTTAAGCAATATAAGTACTGTATTCTTTCAGTACCATATTATTTTATGTACGTCTTAAAATTAATGAATTATATAAATATGTAAACTAATTAGGATCAATTGTTTATGATAGTTCCTATGTGGATTTATTGATTATTAGAAGGATAATTATGGCTTTGTTTGCTCATTTACCAGTTTGGAGTTTTTGCACCATCTAGATGAGACCATACTTTCAAGTATAAGACTGACTTGGTAGGAAAATTACTTTCATGCTTGACAAAACTGTTTGTATGTCAAACCTTCGACATGGAGGTAGGTTCTCTAAATTAAAGTAAATGCCCTATAAATAGTTTTCTTCTTAACAATGGGGACTAATGAGTGGAGGATACTGTCTTGAAAGCCTGGGGATACTCAAAGTCAACATCACATGGCACAAGCCTCTTCTCACCCTACAATATAGGTCTGACTTCTTTTCTCATATGTCATTTAGACATGTAGTATTTATTCACCTGCTCATTTTATTTTATCAAAATGACATTCATGTGTTAGTTATTTGTGATTTTGTGTTGTGGTTACATCAAGTTATACTGTGATTTTTGTCAGCAGCGCACTGAGTGTAGTTCAAATGTGACTTGTTTTATGGAACTGTTCAGGCTTTGGGCCTTTCATTTCAATCCAAAGGAAACCTTGATTTTTATAAAGAGAAACATGCGTTTTTATCTAATATTTCCTTCTTTTTATTTGGTAAAGGTTCTTGTTATGATGATAACCGATTTACCATACTAATGTCAGTATTTCGCTGAAACAATATTAGATGTGTAATCTATGAAGACAATCAAAATAAATGCCCTTTGTTCTGGTCTCCAAGCACAAAAAAAGACTTGTGTGGGGAAGGGAAATTTCATTGCCCATTACATGCATTCAATATTCTGATGTCTTCCTTTATTGGTTGTTTGTCTGGTTATTAAAAGGTTCATTGTGTTCAAATGTGTGCTCTCTGTCTTAGGTAAAGTCAAGGATGATGATAAATGTTTATATTTTATATGAAATGTTATGAGGCATTCAAATCTAAGAATTTTATTTTGAATTGCCTAGATTGTGTATTCTTACATTGTAATATAATTAACAACTTTGAATTGATATCTCTATGAAAAACAGATTGGATAAGTGATAAAATAGGTTTTTTATTTTCTTTGTTGGCTTGTACTATTTTGTCACATATTAGCCAATTACAGTTTGAACAGATCTGACTTTTTAGGTGTTGTTTTCTTTGTTCCCTATCTTTAAAAGCCCACACATTTAAGTTCTCGTTCATAACACCCTGCATTGATATTACCTGCACTGTTATCAATGCCGCATCTGCATGTGTAAGAACTGGCATCACCAAGATGCATTCCCTGGCTCACAAAGTAAAGAGCAAGACCTAATACTTCTGTTGAGAAAGGAATTGAAGAAATAAATACTGTGGTTAAGTTGCTTTGTAATTAATGTTGCTATACAGTCTTGTGCTGATGATGGTATAATACATAAAAGATAATATAAATAAATGATTATAATGATGCTGAATTTCAGAACATGAATATGCAGCTAGGGAGCTTAAAGATATGTCTACCATTTCCTTTCTAATGCGTCTAAATTTTTAACCACAACTTCTCTATCTCTGACAGTTTTCCAAGCAGCATCTCTTTCACTTTTGGAAAGTGGTTTTCTCTTTTGTTTGGCAGCAACAATTTTACGGTACGTTTCCAGTATCTGAAGCAAAATTCAAAGAGGGTGAGAATCAGACAAGACATTAAAAGAAACAAGGATGCATCACTGACTTCATACCTCGCTATCTTGATGTTTTAACTTCTTGCGAAGATCTTGACGCACCATCTCTTCCTGCAACAGTTTGATCATAGAGTGCAGCTGGCGCTCATTTTCTTGGGCAAGAACCTGCAACTCCTCTTGGCAGCGGTGAAGTTCAGAGAGGACTCCGTCCTCCTCCTCTTCTTCCTAAAGATCCAAATTCAATAAACAAAATGTGTTAGAAAGGATAAAATTTGCATGAAAGAGCAACTACCATTTCAGTTTACAAACCTTCTTCACTTCAGGGGTATCCAACAATCCTTGAGCTTCTAGTTGAAGACGCAGGCTTCTTTCAAAACAAGCAATAACATGGGGTTTGTATGGCACAATGTTTTCACCACCTAAAAAATTTAAGTAATTACACACAACTTAGGGATTTAGAAAATTTAGTAAGAGAAAATTTTAAAAGCTACAGTATACTGACCTACAACTTTGGTGGGACCTGTTGCTCGTACTTTATCTTTTAAAGGCTTCTCACCAGGAACCTCAAGTTTTATGCGCTTGGCACTTGAGGCATCATCATCATCATTTTCAATTTTCACTGCAAAATATATTGGACATTAGAAAAAGAACATTGTTGGTTAAGATCATGTGATGGATCTTACCAATACCTTTGACTTTGTTGCATTCAGTGGATTCATGCAATGGTGAGACTGGATTTTCTTGAATGAGTGCTGCTAATAGTCTGTTTGCAAACGGCCCAGGTCCAGGAGTGGTGGATTGCTTTTCAAACCTATAACCATTAAAACAATAATACGTATAATAAATTGCTTAGGTTGGCCTAAATAGCTCAGCATATTAAGCTGTTCTTATAAAGCAAGGCCAAGGCATGGCCTGTGAATAAAAATAATAATTGGAAGATACCTCCAGCTAACTAGAGGTATACGAGGAGGTGGAGAGTGGAGGACATTTTGAACGCTCAAAATCCCCACTAGGAGGCTTTACTTAGCTCAGCAAACAAATAAGAAGCACATACCCAAAGCGAGAGCTTCTTTTCAGAATGTTGGCAGCATCTTGAGAGCTTGGTAATGAAGCATGTTTCCGCCGTTGTTTGTTCATGCTCGCTGCTTCTTGTGCTTCAACTAACTCTTGCAGGGCCCAATTAACACTGTAATGTTCTCCAAGAGGAGGAGTTTCAAGTAATGATTGCAAACTGGACTCATTGTGGTGGATCAGATCTTCCAAAACCTGTTATCAATAGCAATCATAAATGAGAACTCAAATGTAAGACTGGTGTTATAAAATTTCCTTTTGCTCATAGTCGAACAAACCTTTATGTGTTCTTGATTCACTTCTGAGCAGTAAGGCTCAACAGATATCCAAAATCGATTTGGAGCACTATTTTTGCTAAGAAGTACTTTGGGAGCTGGTGGTTTGGGATCATTGTCTGGGGGAACCACCTAAAAATGGGGAGTTTTGATGTTAATGTTGTTAATGTCAGTAACTGTTATTTCAATGCAAACCTAGCTGGAAATACTTACAGGCACTGATCCAGCCAAAGGTGCCATTCGATATAGCTTCTTTGAATGTTTAGAACTTGAGGAGCGGGCTACATCTCGAGTCTTTGTGAGGTTCTCAACCAGTTTGCTCCCACGAGATCGACCCTTTTTCCCAGGAGATGACTGTGGTAAGAGTAAGCAACTCATAAATGAATGGAAAACATTGAGTCACACATCAACATATCATGGACTAGAAAACTTACAGCTTTCCCTCTATCTATACTGCTATCAGCATTGTTTATGGAAAGTATTTCACTTTGAAGGAGACGCTGTCGGACTGCAACTTTAGAGAGCAGAGATTCCAGATCCATCTGAAGCTGGTCTAAATCATCCATTAAAACTCCCTCTTCTTCAGAACGATTTAACACTGAAACAAAGCATTGCACCAAACATGTAGAAATATGACTCCATAAAATGCAGTTACTTAAAGCTTTACATAATACATTGTTTTCTTAAGATAAAAATATTACCCGCATAATAACGGGGCAGTGTTCGGCTTGTGTCAGTAGTCTTAGGAAGTGGAAAGCCAAGACCGACTTCCTCACGAGGCTCTGGGTTGAGGGGAGAGTCTCCAGACCCAACACTTGGAATTCCACTTGAACCAAGTGTACTACTACTGCTACCACTCCCATTACCAGACTTGCATTTACTTTTTTCTTTCACTTTCCCACTGTTCTTCTTTGTAGCAGGCTTCCCTTTTGAGGCAGCCATCTTAGGCATTTGTTTAGGCGTCACAGTCCTTTAGATGAAGAAAAGTAAAAATATATTAACGTGCTCTTAACATTAAAAGAGGGTAAAAAAATTCTCAAATATATAATGTCATGAGTTAATACCGTGACATAATTGCAAGGTCTTCCTCAACACTGTTCCAGGATATTTTACGCCAAAGTACTCTGAAATAAATTTTTTTAAATGAGTCAGGATGTAAAATACCAAACGGGGGCTTTAAAAAGTAGCAAAGGAATATCTCAAAGGGACAGGTCTGATTTATCTGATAGTGTTCTCTGGTTCTCTGCGCACTTTTGTTTTTTTAAATAAGGTGTCAAGCAAGAACATTTAAGGATAACGATGGAAAATCATGCAAGCAAAGTTCAACACAAAACAAAACGTACATGCCCAGGCACAAAACAATGTTTACAAACAAATTGTTTATTTATGAACTATAATGTAAGGTTAAATGCCAAACATAATGAAGACTTCAGCAGCACTTAGAGTCAAGCCCACTACAAGCAATAACCTAAATTTACATTAAATATTCGACATTATTTACCACACAAAATTCAGAAGACATTTGCATAGTTGCCACAGAACTGGATAAATCAGAACCATTCAAACATTTTCAGTTCAGCAAGTTTTTTTTACTAAATAAATAATATTGTCGTCTTACTTAAGTCCACTCAAAACGTTATTCATTTATCGAAAATGTGATCGAATAATGCCCATTTCAGAGGCCGTCTAAAACGGCTTCGACAGTAATTTTTGGCTGAAAAGTCAAATAAACATTAGGCTTGGCGTTGGTTTTCGTCCGTCGGCGTCGTCGTACACCTACACCCCTCCCTTCCCCACCCCGTCAGTAGTATTCGCAAGATGTTGGTGTAGCCTATTCGCAGCACACCCCGGCAACCGCACCGAAGGCCGAAGACAGGGGGAAGGCACGGAAAGAAGGGAGAAAATGCATAGGTCGTTTAAAACACATTTATTTATTGTAGTAATTCTTGAATACATATTCATGAGGTCTGAGATCACTTTCACTTTCACCACCTGACATGACATGAAAGGTCGTCAATCAAGAAAGCTAAAGGAAAAGGGAAACAATGCTTTGCACTTTCAAAAAACTAGCTTAGCCAGTGCCATTAAGTTGATTTCACGAGAACAATCCAGATATAATTATCATCCTTGGTCAAGTATCTTTTAACCACTACGGTTAAAATAGTATAGTTCACGAAACAGTAAAAAAAAAAAAAAAAGATATTTGGAAGAGCCGGTTTCCAGCGGCCCTCAGCGAGAGCTGCTTGAACTGGAACGACTGTAGCGCCTTCGCCGGGCAGGGGACCTGGAGCGAGAGCGGGGTCGTCGGCGAGGGGGCGAAGGGCGACGCCGAGGTGGCGGCGGCGTGCGGCGACGATACCTACCCAACCACAAGTAAAGTTTAAAAACGAATCCTTGTAAACAAACAATGGCAGGCAGCAAAGGTAAAGAGACAAGTTCAAACATAGTACCTCGGTGGAGATCTGCCCCAACGCTGACCCATTGGCCTCCTCATGGGTGGAGGTGGACTGCGCCGAGGCATCGGTATGCGGGGTTTGGGCAACAGAACAGGGGCGGCTGTTATCTCTTGCCCATCAATTTGACCTGGAGAAAAAGCAGTAAAATAAGCATTCAGGAAAAGATAGTAAAAGTTAAGAGACTTTGGGCCTAACAGGAGATAGCCTCACCTCCATCCATGTGCTTCATGGCATTTTCAGCTTCATCAGGAGTTTCATATTCTACATATGCAAAGCCACGGCCAAATGGATGTGATCGATCAAGAGGGAATTCTACTTGCTTCACAGTTCCGTAAGCTGAGAATATTTCAAATATGTGGTCCTTTGTCACATTGCGAGTCAATCTGCCAATGTGTACCCGGACAGGACGAGGAGTAGGTGCCCTCTCCTTACGCTTTCGTGCCAACCGTACTGGTGATGGTGTTCTTGAAAATACAAAAAATTAATTTATAAGATGACATCACACAAATTCATTAAAATTCAATCACTTGAGTTAAGATAAAAATATAGTGATGAAAGAAAATAACAAACCAACCTGCTTCTAGGTTTTGGCTTTGGTTTTTCAACAGCCTTCTTTTTGTCATCCTCTTTCTTTTTGTTTTTGCGGTCATTACTCTTACTGCGGCTCCTGCTGTGAGTCTTGCTCTTGCTGCGGCTTCTGCTATGGGAAGCACTTCCCGTCCTAAACAAAATAAGATTAAAAAAATATTTGATATAAAGCAACATAGGTATAAGGTAATAGAGTTTATAACGCTGAAGACTTACTTTCGTTTGGTAGCTTTAGATCGAGTTCCAGAGCTGGAACTGGAGCTGCTTGACCCACTGGAGCTGGAACTTGACCGAGAGCTTGATCCTGAGCTTGACCCAGAACTCGAGCTTGAACCTGAACTCGAGCTGCTTGACGAACTAGTTAAACAGCAAAATATATATCAGGAAAATGTAAAGAGATAACAGACAAATACGACAGAAATAAACAACAAACCTCCGACTGCTGCTTCCACTGCCACTAGATGAAGAGGCTGTCGACTTCTTGTTCCTGTCTCTGCCCCTTTCCTTTGTATTCTTGTCCACCTCAGAATCTGAGCCCTTGCCAGCTCCCCTGCTGGTGGGGCGTCTGCGTGCCCTGTGGAGGTCGATTCATACATTAAGAAATGAAAAAAGCAGAAGCATTGCCGATCTGATTGGGGGGCAGCATTGTAGAGATGTTAAAATGAACCGCAACTTGACTGCTAATGGATATCTTCAACATCGAATGCATAAATTGGTTTCAAAGCCGTGGCCAAAAATTTGGGTACGGAACTAACTAGGGACGTCAAAACCGAGTGATTTGTTGTGATGTTTGAGGTTATGTAAAGTTTGTCAAATGGCGGACTCTCTTCCGACCATACAAAATTGTAGCTTCATCGAGTACTTTGCCATCAGTACAACTTACACGTAAGAATAAAAATAATTAAAGGAAATGCAAAGGTCGCAAGTGGACTACTTGAGGGGAATGGAGATTCGAAATTAAACATTCCGGCAGTACGCTAGTCAACCGGCAGAAACCAAGTGCAGTTATAAGGACGTTCTGAGAAGGAAAACCTAATTCATGCGCGTGAGCAACACCGATAGAGCTTGAAAAATACTTACATCGCACACAAAAGAGTCCAGAAGAGTCACAAGCTAGAAAATGCTAGGTTCTAGCGGGTCCACTAGATCACCGCTCGGCTTCGGCCTTTTCCTTGTTGTTTTTCCTGTGTATAGTGTAGTGTCTGTCTGTATCGTGCGCATACACGCTTTGAGTTATTCGAACCACAACAACTATTGGCAGTTAGCAAAATTGTCTTTGCTTGACGAGTTGTTATTGTCTCTAAAATTTGTTGATTTTGCTTCAAATATGTACATGAAAAAAATAACTGACGAACTTGCGTCTACCTGCGACTGTTATAATCCAGGCACGATGGGAAAGAAATCATGAGAACTTCACGGACATAATTATAAGGTGACAATTCCGAAGAGGCCTGTTTCACTCGAGTATGGGAAGACGAAGACATGTGGGCTGCCGCACTTCTTCGCTTCATTCGCAAGAGGATCGTTCTGGGAATCATATTTTTGTTTTCCCTTACGTATTGTATAGTTAGTTTTATGAAAGAGGTAAGTATTTTTCCCACTTTTGTCATTTGAGTCTGTGCTTTTCATTCTATGGCTCGCACTACATATTTAGTGTGTTTTTAATTATAAATCTGTGTGTTAATGATGCCTTATTTTCTTTCAGGGAAGCTCCACGACTTCTTATGAAATTGATACTTTACCAGTTCGACCACTTGATAGATCTTTCTTATGGCACTCGCCTAAGGATGACTTAAACGCTACAGATATGAAGGTTTCAGCATGTCGTAATTCAGTTCAAGGGAAGGTGCTTATTGTTGATGACCGAGGTAGGAATTCTGTCTCATTAATTTAATGGCTTTGATAGTTTTTGATCTAAATTTTCATTTTTATTTTCCAGGCTATGTTTGCTCAAGAGGTAACGTGTTACCAAATGGGTGCTGCAATATTGATGCAGAAAACACGAAGAGATACTCTTGTGAAACTTGCAAGGAATCTGGCTGCTGTAGTATCTATGAATATTGCATATCTTGTTGCTTGCACCCAGACAAAGTAGGTGAAAAGATAGAAAGTTGTTGTGGAAATACTTGATTGCTCATCACTTCATATCGCAATTCATTGAATTATCCTCTCTTCCAGAAACAAGTTCTTGAAAATGTACTTGGGAAAGCATCAGAAACCTTGAACGTTCTTTTTGCATCAGTAACTGACCATTTTGAACTTTGTCTGGCAAAGTGTCGAACAAGTTCACAAAGTGTCCAGCATGAAAATACATACCGTGATCCCAAAGCAAAGCATTGCTATGGAGAGATACCTATAGCTGGCTCTTAAGGACAAAATGGGAAGTCATCTTCATTGGCTTTGTGGAAAAGATGTGAGTAAGTTTGTTTCTTTTTTCTCTATTTTTGTTGTTTTGTTTCTAGTATTTTATGAAAATTGTATGCCAATGAGAATGTGGGGCTCTTGGCTTAAGAAACTAGTTTGAACCAAAGTGAAATTGTTGTAGATCTTAAGCATCTTGAGAATATTGTTGCAGTATATGTATGTGTTGAGGCATCAAAATGTAAGGATGAGGATCAAAGAACTGAGATAATATTTTATATGTACTGTATTTCATCAAATTGTGTAAACGCTCTATGAAATATGTAGCTTGTTTTCAGAAATACTTAAAAAATTTTCATTTTCTTCATATTTTTTATTGTGGCTGAATCTGTTATATTTTTACTTTGTTAAGATGCTAGGGCTGGGAGTTACAGCATCTACAGATTTCATATTTAGAAACCAATGTGACCTCAGTTCTGCCATTGCTACAACCTACCAGTGAGTCAGCAGGGTGGTTATGTGGCAGATATTGAGTGAGTGTTTTATACGTTTTAAATGTTTCATGGGGTAGAGGTCAAGATCATAAGTGCCAAAATTAGATCAAAGATCAATTTAATGTAATCAACTTAAAGATGATCAGTTGATCTTGTCTTGACGCCCAGGATTTTGGCATCTTCTCACTATGTTCTACGTTTGAAATGGAGAAAGGAACACGGATGTGTATCATGTAATCTGATAATGTGATATGAACTTTATGTTCTCTTCCTTTCTTTGAAAAACCCTAAATCTTCTCAAAAGATTTTGTATTTGTTTATCAAAGTCCAACATTAAATTAGGGCAAACCCCTTTGAACATAAGTTAGTGGTCCTAAACCAAGGCGAACCAAGTATATTGGTATGATGATATATGTGATAGTAATTTTTTAAAAAGATATTGGGTTGTAATGCGCTGCTAGCAAGTTTTTTAAAATATTGAACTGGTGAAAAAATACATGTGAATCAACTTTTAGGAAATATTCTGATTTAACTGGTCATACCAGTCATTTGTTTTTATTTTGTTTGGATGACACTCAATTATTTTCCCTTCATATTTAAGGATATTTCTCAGACTTCATAGTCTACTGCAAACACACTACTGGTAATCATGCGTAAATAGCCTCTCTCCCTCTCTATCAGAGAAGAAATGTACTTAAAATTGCAGGAAATCTGTATCATTCATGTGAGGGACTCTCATGTCTGCTTTCTTTGCCAGCAGTAGTTTTTACCAGAGTATCACACATTTGCTCTTGAGAGTTGCAGAATACTTAGAAAATGTTATTCATTTTACTGACTTCTAGGTCATTCATATTTATATTCTGTCTATTTTATGTGATTGTGAGGTTAATTTAAGAAAAATACAATATACATCAATATTTTGCACATTTTTCAAGATCAGTACCAATGTCTTAGAAAAGTAGAAAAGAACCAAGTTTAAGAGCATGAATGAAGTTCATCACATTAAGGTACATAACATGCATATGGCATACTAGCAGTCGAGGGTTAGTTCATGGATGACAATAATCTACAATGTGTTTTTACCACACATCAACAAACTCTTAATGGTATATTAATTAAACAACAAAGGCATGATGTATGTGAACCAATTGGGACAGTTGCTAGAGTCCTAGGACTCTAGTAGTTGCTAACCGTTATTGGTAGGTACAGATGTCCATCACTAAGATAAGAGGTCCCAAGGTTTCACTGGTACATACTAGAAAACTACATGCCCAAAATGTATTTTATAGAATGATAGATTCAGTTCTTCCTATGAAAGCTACATTAAATACAAGTCACCACAATTTTCTGTAATAAAAAACAGGAGTTTTTTTTTTTTTTTTTTTTTTTTTTTTTTCAGAATTGACACAACTTAAAAACAACATGGGCAACAACAAGAGGAAATTGTGCTCTTGAAATAATGAAAAATAAGATCTAAAATCTTTTCTTTTGTTTTCTTTATCTAATAATGCAACAGGAGGCTTGTTATTACTCACAGCAAGCTACCATCAACTACTTTTAGTTTGATTGACACCAGGTACCTGTTTTCATAAATGTGTCAAGCAGTATACACAGCCAATAGTTTGTTTAAAAATCCATGGCTTGACTAGTCTTTTCTCATATTATGAAAGATTACATTACATTCCTAATCACATATTTTGGACTATTAACGTTTCTTCAAAACCAGATAATAATACAGTGCAAGGACAGAAACATTCTTGCCTTGCAACTTCTTCATGTTTTGATAACAGCCTTAATTATTATTTATTAAGGTCTGATAGAATTCAATATGACACAATAAGTTACATCCAAATTTGGGACAGTCCTCTACTAAATGAGAACCCATACTAACACAAAAGCACACTCGTAACACTGTTAAATACCACAATTACGTTTTTTCTCAAGGCACTTCAATACTTACAGAAACAAATATTACTGTATAATAGATTACCCTTCCGCTATATAGCCCTTGACTTTGCTAAGTCGTCAAGGGGCGAGAGAGAACATCTGAATACTTTTTTTTTAAGAAATTTGATTTTGTAATTTGCACTAAATACTACATCTGCAGCCTCTTATGTTAATCTACCTAGCTCATTGGTTCTATTTTTTGTGATTTTTTTTTTTTTAAACCAATGCAGAAGATTCACATTAAAACAAAACCACTGCACCCATGCCATCACTTATTTGTCGCTGGATAATAATACATAATTGCAGGAGCAGGCAATTGCCACTGTGCTGCGTGGAGCTCGATTAGCTGCAGAAGTGTCTTCCGTATGGCTGGAATCGCTGCAGATGTTAAGAACGCATCTCGCACTCCGGCTAAAACAGCATTCATACGAGTTGGCAGCTCAATTTCTAAGTCTTTTCCAATGGAAGAGAGTACAAAAAACAAGCACTCCATCTGTACGAAAAGAAAAATCATATCAATGCATATTTTAATGTGACCTAGGTCAAGCCTGTCTTATACTTCTCATCCTACCTCTTTCAAACTATTTATTGATGGAGGTTTCAGACATTCTTGACAGCACTTAGCAAGAAGAGTTAGAAGAAGTAGTCCAGGCGCTACACCGTCATATTGAGTTTTCAATTGAAGCTGGCGCCGTTTAAGCTGCAAAGCACATCATTGAATGAATGAAACATGAGCGATGAGAAATATCTTTTGCCTACAAACATTTATGGGACACCAACCTGGCAGTACATTTCAGTTAAGAAGGCCATGAAAGCAGGGTAGCGCATGCTTGGAGACCCACTTGATCCTGCAGAAGGACTTGATGCTTTTAGGTACTTTTCCCGGTTTTGGTACCACAATTGGCATGTATTTAAAAGAGACTCAAGAAATGTTTCGTTCTTCTCTTTCTGTAGGGATCATAAGGTAAAACAATGAAACAGATTTGCACATTATTGATTTAGACAGTAATTTGTTGCCCTTGGAGCTCACCTCAATTATTGTTATGCATAGCTTTGCTGCGGATTCTGCAAAGCTTCGGCTTTCCACAACCCTATCCATAATGTGCCTCACTAGCTGCATCAGAGTCCTCGCCGACACCTGATTGGGGTCTGAAACAAACCGGCTTTAGAACCATCTAGCCCACCCACTCGAGGAAGGTGTCGTACAACCGTGACGCGCAGCGCGCAGCCCACCTTCTACCGCCCTGTGGATGGCGGCCTGCACTTCGGGCGGGAAGTTGGCAAAGTCGGGGAGGTCCTTGGCCTGCCCCCCGGAGAGGATGTCTGCCGAGCCGAGGCTCTTGGAGCGCTTGATGCCGCCTGCCGGCGCCGCGGGGGCGGCGGTCGCGATGGCGGCCTGGGTCTTGGAGCGGAGAGGCTTTCCCTGCATCCGCGAGACAGTAACATTAGATGGGCGACCACCACGTCAGCGCCCGCGATCCTCAGCGTAGGCACGCCCGCCAGGCCTAGCCAGGCCGCCAGGCCGCACCACGCGCTGGACTTGACCTACCATGTGATGATCCTCTCCGGGCGCTGAGGACGCGTGGTCCCGGTGCCTGACCCTGCTGGTCGCGGAGCTGCCGGTGCCGCTACCAGCCCCGGGGCCGCTGCTCTCCAGGGCCCCGGTGTGCAGCCCCCTGGCCTCAGACGAGTTGCCCTCCACGTCGAAGCGGAAGTGCACCCGGTGAGACTGTGGGAAGACAGGCGGTGAGACAGTGCAGCCCCAGAGGGACTTCCCCGTGAGGTCTTCGGGTTACCCACCTGCTGGAGAGCGCTGCCCATGGAGGCCTGGTGCTGCGAGTGCCGCTGGTGCTGCTGCAGGGTGTGCATGATGTTGCCGCTCGACTTGGACTGCTGCAGCATGGCGGACTTGGCGGATTTGTTATTGTTATTGTTGCTGTTGTTGTTGTTGTGGTTGTTGTTGAAAGCCAGGATATTTCCGCTGGACCTGAAATCATGCCCGAGAGAATGTATGGAATGTTGTGCTTTGAGACGCTACGCGCGTCCCCCCGCGACTCACTTAGACATCTTGATGTGGTCCATGGCGTTCATGGTGAACTCCTTGGCGTGCACGTTGAGCCGGTTGCTGATGGAGTTTTCCCCGTTCATGTACGACCCATCAACGCGGACGTCTGTAACATTCAGGGTTCCATGTCGATTTGGAAAGGACAACCACAACTTGTGATCCTGACGCAACGAGGGTGCTTTGCTTTACTTGGCGGTCGGTAGATCTCCAGCGTCGGCTTGCCCCCTCCACTGCCGCCACCGCTAGCGCCGCGTCGGGACCGCGACTGGAAACAATGCACGCCATCAGACACCCTTCAAACACTGGAACGGGCGCGCCCGGGGGAGAGGGTGCTAATTATAAGCGGAAGGAAGAGGGGGGGGGGAGCTTTGGCACGGGGGCCAGCCCACGTGGTGAAGGCTTGGCCTGGCTTGGCCGGATCCGCGCACCGCGTCCCGAAAACCACGCGGCCTGCTTTGTTGTCGCGTCTTGCGTCCCAGCCTCCCACTCGCTGAAGCCACCCTTTGAAAACACCGCGAGGTGTTTGGCGCCGAGGACTCGCAGTGGCTCGGGGCAGCGAGGACTTCCCTCCCGCCCCCTTTCCCCCCGCCTTGCCTAAACGGCTGCCCGGTTCCGGCGGCGTGCCTCAAATTCCGCACCGGAGACAACTTTGACGGCAAACCGGTCGGAGCGAAGAGTGGTGCCACGCGCCGCGGTTTCTCTAGCGTTCTCTAGCCCCAGGCGGCCCATTACACGCCTACTTTTAAACGAATCCATCAGCTCGAACCGGAGATGTCCAGCATTACAGTACACTTGACGACGTTTTCGACCCGCGATCGCCATCAGGGTGAGGTGCCAACGACGATGACTCCAACAATTTTACGGCAGCATTTCAAAATTGGTTTGTAGATTTGGCTCTCTGCCGGAGTCGAGTTCAACCTCGCGCCGTTGTTTCCCGAGCAGGAGTCGAAAAGTATAAGCAGGCACGCACGCCTCACCTCACTCGGCGTGCATAATCAAGCTATCATTATTTATTTATTTTCGGCGAGTCATACCCAAATCCGGCATCTTGCCGAGCCATTCCGACGATTCCAATCGGCCGGGCGAGCGGTGTCTTCTCTCTCTGTCGCACTTGTGCCAGCTCACGGGAAAGAAAGAGAGAGAGAAAAGACGCTGCCCGCGCCGCGCCGCCCAGAAAGCCTATGGCCGCCTCGCAGGCAAACCAAGTCGAACTTACTTCGGAGCATCGACGGCTCGTGACAGTGAGGCAGACCGAACTGCCACTCGGTGGCTCGACCCACCTAGCCTGCCCAGCCCTGGCCTAGCCCGACGGCGCCGAGGACGTCACCAAGGCTGCGGCTAGCTGCGGCTAGCTGCGGGTAACACGGTAACACAACACGAAAACAGCTGACGGCGCGCGGACCGACCGTGCGGCGAGCGGCGCGGGCTTCGAGTCGTCCGGCCCGCGCTTGGCGGGAAACTGGTGGGTCTCGACTACTAGCTGCTCCACGAGCTGGCTTGATACTTCACAACCCCGCCCCGCACCGCCCCGCCCCACCCCGCACCCCGCCCGGGCCGGACCGGCTTTTTGGCTGGGGCCACCTAATGCCCCATGCCATATCACCTTCAACGTCGTCCCCTCGAAGAACAAGCACATCTTGTATCGCCGTCGTGCGGCTACGGCTATCCACTCGCCCCTATCTAGCAGTCTGGCGACGCTGGCGACGCCTAAGAAACGGTGGAGGAAGTGGCACGCCGGCAAGGCAAGCCCGGTAAGCCGTTGCCCGTGGCGACGCGGCGGGAGGGTCATCCGCATAGCAGGGCGTACCGACGCACTGCCGCACCGCCGCACCGTGGCGTGAGTGGAATGATTAAAATGCGTTTCCCGCTCACTGTAATTAGATGCAAGTGGCAGACGCGGGCGTGGCGTGAGGGGTGGGAAAAGCGGGTCGCGGCGTGTGGTCGGCGCCTTGCTGACTGCCACCAGACTGATTCCGAGAGTCCTTTCGTCACTCTGCCGCTCTCGCACAGACAGAGCGACGCAAAGGAATCCCTGCCGGACTCGCGTTGGCTTTGGCTGCTTTGGCGCCGACGCCGCTGGGCACCTCGACGTAGGCACTCACCTGGTGCTGGTGGTAGCTGGGGGAGCGCTGGAAGCTGCTGTTGCTGGTGCTCCTCTTGAGCTCGCCGGGGCCGGCCGTGTGCGAGCGCTGCAGCAGGCCGGGCCCGGGGCCCGTGGCGGGTGCGGCCTCCATGGCTAGCAGGTCTAGGCTGTCTAGGCCTCCTAGACGCGCACCATGCCTCGCTGTGGCCACGCCGGCCGTGCACGCCACTGGAAGCTACTCGAGGTGCTGCTCGGCGGCAAGGACCGCGCCGCAGGACGCGTTGTAGAGAGGGGCCGGCTCGGCGTTGGCGCGTCGGATTCAATGTTCAATCGAGCGGAGTGCACCTGCAACGAGAGAGGAACGGGGCTCAGGGGTGTTTACAGTGGGAGTGTTTTCGTCGAACCCCGTAGTCATTCATCTCTCTCGCACCTACGTGGGACGCTCCAAGATTGCGAGAGAGACGGAGCGACGAAAAGAGGGACAGCCCCAGGCGAGTGAGTGAGAGTACAGTGCCGCCTCGACCCCGCCGCCTTCATTTGCATTTGTCTCGAACGTCGAACGTCAGCGGTCTGCAGCCGCCTCGCCCGCCGGCCCACAAAACCAACATCGGCTCATGTTCCCTGTCGCCGGGGCGCGGTGGAGGCTTTGGCGGAAGGCCGCGCAACAGAGGTGAACCCTTTACACTCTGATCTGGCAATTGGATTTCGGACACTTTCGTCCACCTTAGGCGCCCTTAGGCGAGCGACGAAAGGGGAGGGCGGGCCGTCCCCACCCCCTTGGACCGGCGCCTGAAATGGAGGCGGGGAAGGGAAGGGTAAACGCACCGCGCGGGCAGGCAGGCAGGCCGCGCAGGGGGTGGGGGCACCGCGAGGACCGCGAGGCAGGAGGCTGCGACGTGAGCGGCCAAGGCGTATTCTTAGATCATCAGTCGTCACACGCTCGCACGGCCCCCACCCCGCCGCGCCCCGCCTGCCCGAGTGCGTCCCGGTGCCTTCCGTTGGCTTCCCCTTGCTTCCAGCCCTCCAGCCGCACCCGCGAGTGCCACCGCCTCGGCCTGGCATCGCCACAGGGCGGCCAAAGGAGCGGCAGGGCAGGGCGGGGCTTGGACCGGGGCCAGGCAAATCTGCCTGCACACGTTTTGACACTGATCGATTAGCGAGACAGAGAGAGACAGGGAATGCAGTGATGGGACCTCGGGCACGGCACGGCAGGGCACGGCAGGCCGCTCCCATCATAGAGGAGTGACTCACGTCACCGCCAGCCTGCTACTTGCTGGCTTGCTGGCGCTCCCGCCAGAGCCCCCCCCCCCTCCCTACGTCCGGGCACGCCCCCGCCCGCCCCACCGCGTCCACCGCGTCGCGGTGTGTGCCGCGCGAATTAGACGACGGCCGCGCGGCGAGCGCGAGCATGGCGACGCTTAAACACCTTGCCGCGCCCCCCCTCCCCCACTTCATCTTTTCCCGCCAAAATCCCCCCACCCCCTTCCCTGTTGGCCCCGCTGACCCCGTAACTGAAAAGCAGGCCGTCGTTGCCGTCGTCACGCTTGCAGTGTGTCGAGTGACTCGCGCTAGCGACGCCTACTCTCCAAAACGCGGACATGCTAATTCAATCATTTTTTCGAGTCCGTGCTGGGCGTCGCCCTGTTGCCCCGTGGCCGCCGGTGTCGCGTGGCGGGCGCGGCGTGGGGCCCTGTCCCGGCCCTGCCTGCCTGGAGCCGCGGGGACACTGGGGCACACTCGGCCTGACTCGGCCGCGGCTCACAATTGGCCATTGACTGGGGCGTGGGGCGTGCAGGCCGGCCGGCCGGGCAGGGGGCACTACACTGGCAGCGGGCTGATTCCGAACAGTGCCTTCGTCGCTCTGTCCCTCTCGCACTCCACGGGCGTCCCGTCGGCCCGCGAGAGAGACAGCGCGACGAGGAGGCGCGGTGCGGAATCGCTGGCGAGCACCAGTGCTGCCAACCGGAGAAAAAACGCCGGCCTGTGACACGGACTTGATGGAGGAGAGAAGAACGCGGCGTTCGTTGCACTGCAGTGCATGGCTGGCACGCGGCGCGACACGCCCGGCCCCACATCGGAAGTGAAAACGCGACGCGGGACAGCGAAAGGCGAGAGTCCACAAGTGTCGAGTGTCTGGGCCCCTAACCCCTTTGGCCCCGGGGTGGGCAGTCCCGTTGAGGCGCGCGTCCGCGGGACTACCCACCCGCCAGGCCCCTTTGGGCCGTCAGAGCGTTCCCCTCACGTCGCCCCGGGGGTAAGTTTCTTTCTTGTCGTGGCCAACCGAGGGGCGGAGCGGCGCCATGGGGTGGCTGTCCGTTTTGGGCGGGCCCCCATTGCCCCGCACCATTTCGAAAAGCACGTTCGATGGATTGGGGCACGGCGGGCCATACCCCAACTGTAACGAACCGTGATTGCCAAAAGAGAACATTCGAATCCCGCCCCCAAAGTGCGCCAGATGGGGTCGCCAAAGCTCCCAAACCCTGTCGATGGGATTCGAAGCTTGGCATGTCTCGAGCTAATTTCAACCGAAGACCAATACGCCATACTTCTTTCAAAGGTACTTATGCTGCAACGAAAAATGTCCTCCGTATATTCATTTCCCACACATTTCGAAAAGGCAGCTCTGACTTTCCCAAGCACACTTTTAACTTTCCATGACACAAGCCATCAAAGTGGAGTCCCTGGGATATAATTGCATGGGTCGCGAAATCTAAGATGCTGTACACGGTCAAAGCGGCTAGAGCATTTAAAATGGCGTGTATCAACAATACCTGTAACTTCCGTGGCACCTTTACCCAATGTTGCAGCAGCACTAGGTGAAAAATTCCGCTTAAATGTCGGGCTTAGAGTATCATTTGACCCTGGAACGACTTTAAGCCAGCAAGCCCGAGTCAGCCGTTAAAGCCGATTTTCACACTTTGTAACTTCGTGATACGTAATCCGTGATCAAAACACCCACTAAAACGTATGGATACCTTATGGCTCATGTTTTTAGGAAGGTAGTACAAGGTCTTTACTATAAATACCTTTGCCATAACTCTAGTATCATCCAGGACCCCAATAATCAGAAAAACTTAATTGGATATTTCTCACTTTCGGCAAATCAGAGACGCCAAAACTACCCCGAAACGTGAGAATCGCTCCGCAGGGTAGGCAGTCCCGTTGAGACAGCGCGTCCTGCGGGACTGCCCACCCGCCAGGCGCCTTGCCGTCAGCACTGCACCCTCCCTCCCCTCGCCTCCCGGCGGGTGAACGTGTCTGGCTTGTCGTGGGCAGGGAGGCCGAGCGGCGGAGCGGCGGCCCTGGACGGCAGGCTGTCCGTGTGGGCGCCCCCCGAGCCCCAGGCCCCGCGGACCCAGCCGAACCGAACGCACTGCCCGACTGCCCGTCAGTGGGGCACGGCGGGCCACTCCGCGACCCGCAGCCACTCGGACGCGGAAGCGAACGCGCGAACGCCAAGCAGCCCGGGTTCGAATCCCGGCAGTACTCCCACAATGCGCCAGACTCGCCAAGGGTCGCCAACCCAGCCCCAACCTTGGCAACTCGTCGAGAGCAAAGCCTAGACCAGCGGTTCTCAACCTTTCTCGGCTCGCGACCCCAAATTTGAAGCCAAAAATTTCCGCGACCCCACGGGACCCCTCCTTTAACATGCCACGGCGTCTGATCCGAGGCGGGCATTTTGCTCCCTCAACGGGCAACTGGTCTTTGGACCTTCCTTTAGCATGCCTTTGTTACGGAGTGCAATTATCAGTCTTAGTTTGAGAGCAGTATTGTCTCAAAGTTGGCCGAAACGCTCAGAAATGTCTATGAAAAATCGTGTTTTGGGCTGATTTTAAGCAGCCACAGCGTCTGATCCGAGGCGGGCATTTTGCTCCCTCAACGGGCAGTTGGTCTTTGGACCTTCCTTTAGCATGCCTCTGTTACGGAGTGCGATTATCAGTCTTAGTTTGGGAGCAGTATTGTCTCAAAGTTGGCCGAAACGGTCAGCAGTGTCTTTGAAAAATCGTGTTTTGGGCCGATTTTAAGCAGCCACTGCGTCTGATCCGAGGCGGGCATTTTGCTCCCTCAACGGGCAGTTGGTCTTTGGACCTTCCTTTAGCATGCCTTTGTTACGGAGTGCAATTATCAGTCTTAGTTTGAGAGCAGTATTGTCTCAAAGTTGGCCGAAACGCTCAGAAATGTCTATGAAAAATCGTGTTTTGGGCCGATTTTAAGCAGCCACTGCGTCTGATCCGAGGCGGGCATTTTGCTCCCTCAGCGGGCAATTGGTCTTTGGACCTTCCTTTAGCATGCCTTTGTTACGGAGTGCGATTATCAGTCTTAGTTTGGGAGCAGTATTGTCTCAAAGTTGACCAAAATAGTCACAACGATTTTTCAAAGACACTTGCGACCGTTTTGATCGACTTTGAGACAATACTGCTCCCAAACTAAGACTGACAATCGCACTCCGTAACAAAGGCATGCTAAAGGAAGGTCCAAAGACCAACTGCCCGTTGAGGGAGCAAAATGCCCGCCTCGGATCAGACGCAGTGGCTGCTTAAAATCGGCCCAAAACACGATTTTTCATAGACATTTCTGAGCGTTTTGGCCAACTTTGAGACAATACTGCTCCCAAACTAAGACTGATAATTGCACTCCGTAACAAAGGCATGCTAAAGGAAGGTCCAAAGACCGACTGCCCGTTGAGGGAGCAAAATGCCCGCCTCGGATCAGACGCAGTGGCTGCTTAAAATCGGCCCAAAACACGATTTTTCATAGACATTTCTGAGCGTTTCGGCCAACTTTGAGACAATACTGCTCCCAAACTAAGACTGATAATTGCACTCCGTAACAAAGGCATGCTAAAGGAAGGTCCAAAGACCGACTGCCCGTTGAGGGAGCAAAATGCCCGCCTCGGATCAGACGCAGTGGCTGCTTAAAATCGGCCCAAAACACGATTTTTCATAGACATTTCTGAGCGTTTCGGCCAACTTTGAGACAATACTGCTCCCAAACTAAGACTGATAATTGCACTCCGTAACAAAGGCATGCTAAAGGAAGGTCCAAAGACCGATTGTCCGTTGAGGGAGCAAAATGCCCGCCTCGGATCAGACGCAGTGGCTGCTTAAAATCGGCCTAAAACACGACCCCAGCATCGCCGCGACCCCTTAAAAAAATTTCGCGACCCCGCTTGGGGTCGCGACCCTAAGGTTGAGAACCACTGGCCTAGACATTGTCCGCGCCAGGCTGAAGTTGGCAACCCTTTCGACACTGGCGAATCGTGGGCGTTCTCGCCAATTCACGTGGCAACACTGAACTCCAGAGTACCACGCCGTCTTACCGGAAACAAGGTGTCGGCGGAAAAGGCGGCGCCGGAAATACGTGTCGTAGTGCGAGATGGCTCCGCTGGCGGCGCGTCGCACATCTCTGTCGTTTATCACTGCAACAAAAGGCGGGGCGTTAAGGAGGCTCTCTACAGAAGGGCAGGCGGTTTTCACACTCGAAAGTCCAAAGGCCGCGGACGAGCTTGACCTTTCCCGGTTCAAACTGTCGGTTCAAACCCTCCCACGCCCGACCGACCGATTCCAAAGAGTCTTTTGTTTAAGTCGAGTTTAAGCAGGCCGCGGTTGCTGGATGGTGTAGTCCGTGCTGAGCCTCGCCTTACAAAACACATGCCACGGCTGCGGCAGCGCGCGCCACGCGGAAGGCGCAGCTGGGGTGCTTCCACTTCGAGGTCCACGCTCCTCAGGGCAAGGCAGTGTGTCGCGGGTGTGCCTCGTGCGCGACTTGGCGGCGGAGTACGTGTTCACAAGTGTCCACCTGTGAGCTGCAGCTGGAGGGCCTCACAGGCTAGGACAGCCCAAACAGCACAGGGGGTACGCCACGCCTAGGACCTAGGACAGCCAGCTGGGTCAGCCGACCACAGCGACAGGCGAACGAGACGAGTCGGACAAGTGTGGCGCTCGTAAACGATGCGGGTCTGCAGGGAGCTCTGTCTCTCTCTCTTTGGCGCCCCTAAGGGGGAGCCCCACGAGAGCGAGGGAGACAGAGCGACAGTGTTCCGAAGCGGCACTGAGTCACTGGGTCTGGCCCGGCCGGCTCGGCCGCAACAACGGCCATTAGACATTAGTGACCGCGAGTGCCGCGGCGTCGCCAAGACGAGGCGAAGACGCGGCGAAGCGACCGCCAGCTGCGCCAGCTGCACCGTGCGGGCTGCTGCACCGAGACACCGCGCGGACATAGATCGACGGTGGTTGGTCACTTTCCATTTCAGTGGTCGCGTCTCAACCATCTTGGCGACGCACTTCTCTCTGTCTGCGACATTCGGGGGCGCAGGTTCATCGAGTCTCTGCAGCAGTCTTGGACGCACGCGGGATGTTCGTTTTCCGTGTTCCATTCCTCGCTGTTCTTGACGAGCACGGACCCCCCAGTGCGCCAACGCTGACAGCGCCGACACTGGGATGCCGCGTCCGCCGCCGACGTGCGCTGTGGCCGTGCCGCCGTGCGCCTGTCTCAGTGCCGCACCCACCCATCACACTGCCAACACTCTCCTCTCCGACAGTGCAGTGGTCTGAGGCGCCGCAAGGCCCGCAAGGCGCCTCAACGTCCTCGCCTGCGTTTCGGCGTGGCACCACGGGCCCTTCACATCTTCCTTTCGGCGCTGTTTTCGGCAGTGGTCCGCGCCGCGGCCTCTAAGTCAACTTTCCTTCCTTGTGCTGCCTTTCCTTTCCACTGCACCGGCGGTTTAAATTTAGAATTGAATTCCTGGTTGGGCGTCGTCGGCGTCGCCAGGGCGGCCGGCCGTCCCTCTGGCCCCTCTGGCCGCCCCGCTGGGCGAGCAGGCAGCCAGGCAGCCAGCAGCGTGGCGCAGGGGCTGTTCCTTTCTTCTCGACGACGCACTGGGAAACACCGCGCAGCACGCACATCCACTTTTCCACTCGCACTCACCAGAAAATGGGAAATGTAACCGCGGGGTTCGATTAGTCGATTAGTTGGGGCGGTTGTTGCACTTCGCACTTTCCATGTCGTTTCGCGTGTCCGCGTCGTGGTCGAGCTGGTCGAGCTGCCCGAAGCACGGCGCTCCCGCAGCTTGGCAGCTTGGCAGCCCCGCGGTTCTCTCGGCGCACTGCTACGCACTGCAGGTCAGGACGGGACGGGTCGGGCGTGGGCCGTGGGCCAGCCTAGGCCTCGCAGCCTCGCCTCGCCTCGCAGCCCCAACGAACGCCCTGCCGCCTGCCGTGCCCGACTGCAGCCGCCAGCCGCCGACGTACACCACTAGATGGCGACGGCGGGCTCGTCCTGTCTCGCGGTCTCGCGGTCTCGCCGCGCCCCCGTGGCCCCCGTCATCTCCTCCTCCGTCGTCCTGCCCCCGACGCTCTCCTTCCCCGCGCCTTCCCTCCCGCCAGCGACGCGCGCGCCCTCTGCCGGCCAGGCGGCGGACTGATTGATTCCGAGAGTCGTTTTCGTCGCTCTGTCTCTCTTGCACGTGTGCGGCACGGCCCATGAGTGCGGGAGGGACAGGGCGACGAAGACGACTCTCGGAATCAGTCTGCCGGTGTCTTGACGCAGTGCCGCCAACCGCGCGCGCTTTGGTGCGCGCCTCTTCCGCGATGCAGCTCTCCGCGTTGTCTCTGTCGCCGTTTCCATCTTTCTGCACTACGAGGGCACACAGCTGGAGCAAATAGTTGGATAAGATAAACCAGCGCAAGCTTTCGGCATCTACTCTGTTTATCTCTCACAGTTTGCTTCGAATACCCGCCAAAATATGAATGAGCGCGCTCTGCAAAAATGTGGAGTGTGCTGGGGTCTGAGGTGGGGACCCAATGAGGGGAACTCTTTTTCGTCGTTAAGGTGTAAATAAAAAACGTGAATTAGGTAAAATTACTTTTATTACTTTTCCACGTAACCTAGCAGGCTGGCACTCAGCTAATGGTCCAAGGAGAGATCAGCACTGAGCAAAATTCATGTCAAGACAAAATTTCAATCAAGCAGCATTTGTAACTACAATACTGAAAATCTAAATCTTGTTGTGCTGTATGTACATTGTGAACAGAACTTGGTTATTGCTGTATTTAAAAAAATTGCTACTGGTTAAACTAACATCGACTAGTGTTAAGTAAAGTGGCATGAATAGATCCAGGAATTCATGGAGGAAACTGATTTAACAAATTTCATTGTAAGCACAGTTTTAGTTTGAACAGAAAAGACGATCATTTTAATGCATTGCGATTCTACACAATTTTGTTCTTGCTCAACCAGAATGGGAGTTACAAAAATAATTGCAGGAACAAGAATGACACTTTTGAGCACAACAGTGCCATGGTAGTGGAGGCCACCAAGACCACCAGCTGGAGCATAGCCCTGAATAGGATGTCAGTTCGTGGCATGTAGAGCCTGTAGCACTTAATGTTACTTTTGGTTTCTGTACATTTGACAATACATACATGCCAGTTTATCACAGACGAGTCTAGCACTATAAAGATCAGGACACCATAGGTATCCAGTCTATTAATTATTCTGTGAGACAAGAAGGTGGCTGTCCTTCAGAACAAATCAAGTTTCAGCCATATCACAAGCATCACCCTACCAGTTAATTTATGTCTGGAGCACATGTGCGTTTCATGCTTCAGATTTGGAGGTGATATTTCCAACACAGTGCTACCCACGTAGTCAGAACGTTGCAAATATTGCTCCAAATCCAAGGCTTTGAAGTAAAGAAATTATTTCCACATCCCTTAAGGACAATAGAAATTACAATAAGGCACATTAAGGGTTTACCCATCAATTCAAATAAATGTTCTTGAAAAGAACAACATGGTATATCACTAACAAAGAAAAGTAACTCATAGTCCATAACAAAAACTTCACTAAAATTGTTTCTTCAAGTAAGAAATTAGAAGAGTTGGGTCCCAATGTTAGTGATTGTGATGCTCCAAACTAAAACAAAGGCCAATAAAAATACACTAGTTTAAGTTTTATTCAAATAACTTAATCACATTCCTTATGTCTTTAAAAGTGAGCCTCAAATGAGGAGAGTTAATAAAAGGCAATAGTTAACTTCAGAAAACATGATTTGGTCATTTTTAGAAGGTGTGTTCCCAGGTAATATTTAAATCATACAGATCTAGAGGATTACATTACATGCGTCAAATAATGGTTCTACAACTGGGAAGAATGCATTGACAGATTCTCTGAAGTCCCTGATAAGATTCAGGTTTGTCAAGTAGAAGAAAAAGAAAAATCAAGGAGGGGAAGTGCGAAGAAGTATAAGTGACTTGTTTCTTATAATAAAAAAAAAATTCATTTGAGGCCCTCAACACAAATTGCTTTGTGTTGGAAAGTCACGGAACATTTATAACAATGCAACCATTAATTGCACTACATTCTTACTTCCTAATTTTAAATACACTTTTCATATAGAGAAGACTAGTGTGAAAAGTAAAAACCTAAGAAGTGTTAACACATTTAAGTACATCTGGTACTCCTTGAAACACAACCATAATACAGTATGAGAAGAATTCCTCAGTCAAAAGTATCACAACTTGTTTTTTTCTTAAGTAACAAATTTCACTGCTCAAATTGCGGGGCTAAATGTCTTTTGAAAGTCAAATTAATGAATCATTTCTGAACAGTAAAATACCATTGAATATTGAGATTGGCATAAAGAACAAAGTAATTGCAAGAAGTCGATATAACATTTGCGAAGCCCCTTGAAAGTTAATTATAGAAAATACAGATAAAACAAGTAAAGCAGAGGGGTCTGCTTGCTAAGTCTCAACAAAATTAAAATCTAGATAACATGGCGGCGCATTGCACTCATTAATAATCTTATTACATATGTACAACTGGTTTTCTGATCACCGTTGGAACAAGCTGAAAAGGCGTAGACTGGAGGTGGTCCTCTTCTTGTCGCTGGCAGCAGCTGCAGCTTCAGGTGAGGCTTCAACAGCAACTTGACGGGAGCGCTGTTCCTGAGTCGTCAACTTACGACGCATCTGTTCATCTAACAGAGCCTGCATGTCCATCTGCAATGCAATCACACCAATCAGAACACTGCCTTTCTGATAAAAAAATGTAAACACTTATTCTAGCACGATGTACATACCTGCCACTGTTCTAGTTGCTGACTCAGTTCAACCTTCTGCTGAATTGCCTCCATCAGCTGAGAGTTGGCTTGAAGAACATCAATTCGAGTCTTGGCTAATTGTACTTCAACCTTGTTCTTACGGGCAACAGCTCCATCTCGAACTTCCCACGCTTTGCGGACAATCTGCAAAATGTTGAAGGACCACCATGAAGCAACTTCCAAAAAATATGATAAGACAAGTAAATGAAAATGAACCAAAACCGGAGAATGACATTTACCACACCCACCTCATCTTTGGCAAGATGCGTCTCATCCATGTCCGCCCTGGCGCGGTCTCTTTCTTCCTGCGCCCCAGCCAACTCCGCTTCCCGAATGGAGAGCTGCAGACAGGGAATACAGAAGTCAAAAGTCGGAATTTTTTAAAACCTTGAGGACGCAAAGAAATTTTGACGGCATGGAGTGAGGGCCGTTTAGAACCGCACCTTGCTGGTCAGGTCCATGACCTGGTCGGAGCGCCTCTTGAGCTCGTCGGTCCTCTCCTCCAGCTGGCGGCGCGTCCGGTCCAGGTCTTCCCTGGCGCGGTGCAGCTCCACCTCCACCGCCTCGCCCTCCAGGCCCTCGCGGTCCACCAGGTCGCCGACGAGCCGCGTCACGTCGCGGACCGCCTCGCCCAGCTGCCCGGTCTGGAATCACAATCAGGTTCACCGGTGTTAGCTTTCCCGAAACTGCTTGAACACAAACCAAGCCAAGACGAGACAGTACCTTGAACTTGCTGCAGTTGTTCTCGTCCACAGAGGGCAGGGAGTCGGGCTCCGACTGGGAGTCGCCCTGCATGGACGAGTCGTCCTTGTCCTTGTTCCGCAGCCTCTTGGCCAGGTCGCGCAGCTGGCGGTACGAAGCCACGGCCTCCTCCTTCAACTGCAACAACAATAACAGCGTAAAAACGGAGGCCGGGTGGGGGATCGAACCCACACTCGCGGCACCGCTGACACGGGCGTAGACCGCTCGGCCACGCTGCGCGGGTACTCACGCTCTGCAGCTCGGAGGTGGAGACGAAGCCCGACTCGCTGGAGTCCTCGCACTCCATCTCGTCGAGGAGGGAGCGGTGGCCGTGGCCGAGGCCGTGCGGCAGCGACAGGGGCGACGACGACGGGCTGGTCAGCGAGCTGTTCACCAGGCGGATCTCGTCCAACTCGCGGCGGTTCTGCCGCAGCTACGACAAACAAATCAGCCATGCAGATAACTCGAGCAGCGTCAGCGAGCCTTCTCAGCCTAGACCGCCTCGTGCGACGTACCTGCATCTCCTGCTCCCGGGTGGTCCTCTCCAGCAGCATGATCCTCTCGTTGGCGTCGTCCAGCAGCGCGTTCAGCTGGTCCCGCTCGGCCAGCAGCGCCGCCAGCCGCCTCTCCAGCTCCGCCTTCTTGTCCGTCAGCATGTTGATCTGCAAGCAACACCCACCGCGTTAGCGCGCCACTTCAAACGCTGCCACTTTAGCGCCAAAACGGACAGGTCGGGGAGACCCACTGGGCAAACCACGTGGCAAACCACGTGGCATCGCGACCGAGAGAGACACGACGGAGCCGAAGCGGCGTCTGCATTCCTTATCACGGCCGCAGTTATCACTCGCGCTTCTCGCTGCCGGGGGTCGTCCAAGTATTACGTCACGGAGAGGGGACATCGGAACAGCCTAGTTCAGTGCAGGTGGCCTTACGATGAATGTTCGCCCGTGTCCAATAAAGGCGGGCTGGACATGGGCGCGCAAGCATCCCTAAGGCCACCTTACCTCAGCCATTTACCCAGAGCGCCAGGTATACGTGCAGCAGCGCGGCGAGCCACACCACCACCATCCTCTCAGTCTTGCTCGGCAGCAAACCCGGCGGAGCGGAACGCTATCCGCGGGAAACGAAACGGCCTCGTCAATACCCCGCGTGCTCGTCCAGAAGGTCCCTTGAGCGCGGAGTCGCGACGCGCAGCGCATGTCTAGCCTCGGCGGCGACGCGAACCGCGCGAGCCCGGGTCGGACGCAACCGAGCACCGCATTTTATGTCCGGAAACGAGACGGCGAGGCAGCGGACGGAGCGGAATGGAACGGCAGTCCGATGGACGCCGATGGGCCGGACGAGGCGACCCTCCGACTGGCGGCCTGGCGGCCAAGCGGCCGGCGCCAAGCGACCCAATGGCGCGGCGATAACAGCGAGGCGCTGACCACCGCGACGACGGCGACCTTGGCGGCGCGGGGGACTCGGCGGCGCGCTCGGGGACTCGGGGCTCACCTCGTCGCGCAGCGCCTCCAGGCTGGAGACGTGGTCCTGCAGCGACGACTTGCGGAGGTTGCACTGGTCGCGGAGGCCCTGCAGCTGGGCCGTCAGCTGCTCCTCGGTCTTGTTGGACTGCACAACGGAAACAAACGTAAACCTCTGTTGCAGGCGGGAAAAACCCCAAAATTTTCACATTGCAGTTGCCTCTCACCTCCTTGAGCTGCGCGGCCAGGCGCGTGTTCTGCTCCGTCAGCTCGGCGACCAGCACGGCCTTCTCGCGCTCCGTGGACCGCAGGGCCGCCTCGCGCTCCTCCACCGCCTTCTGCAGCTCCCGGACATCGGCCTGCAGCTCCACCAGCCGCGAGTCCGCCTCCGAGGCCGTGGCCGCCAGCTTGCGGCGCAGCGCGTGCCGGTCCTGCTCCAGCACCTGCAGCAACGACAACAAGGGGGTCAGCAACCAAGTTAGCACCACTAGAAAACAAAAACAGTACAAAAAAAAATCACTCAAAAAAATTTAAAAAAAAAATTTAAAAAAAATTTAGTAAAAATTGCTAAAAAGGTTTCAAACGATGAAAGAAATTAAAAAGAAGAATGGAGCAAATGGGCAAATTTCCAACCTTCACCAAATCGTGGCGCCCGCATAGTGGTGTTACAGAGCACCCAACAGATCATGAGTCGTCTAGCCCTTAATGGCAATGGTTACAGAGCACCGGCCAAGCTCGAGCGCGGTCCGCCGTGGCGGTAGGCAACCCATCGGGCGGCCAAGCCAACCGGCACAGCGCTCCCGAGGCAGTCGGGCGCTGCTGCTACCGTAACTCCACCATGCAGACGCCGCCTGCCCTGCTGGCTGTGCCGCTGTGCCTCGCGCGCAGCGCGCAGCCAAGCCGTTGCCCGCCATCATCAACAACAAAGGCCGGACACCGAGTTTTGAAACCAAACAACCACTACACCGTGCGCCGCCCGGTGCGCCCGGCCGAACCGCGTCGGCGGCAAACAGACCTGGAGCCATTTGCAGCCGAGGCCGCTCCAGCAGTTCCAGCCCACCCCCAAACGTACTCCAGCCGACTCCAGCGCGCCGATCCATTGCAGCCCTGCACCGACAAATCACGGCGGCCCCAGGCAAGTAAAGCACGCGGACGCGCGGACGGCCCGGGCATCCCAAACGACTTGCCCCCCCCCCCTTTTCCCTAAGGCCCTGGAGGTCTGGGCCGTCTCGGTACCCAGCACGGCCAGCACGGTCGAATCGATTGGCTGCCCGCACTGTGTGGACTATGTATGGTGTAGTGTCGTCCCGAACTTCCAAGGCAAAGGGGGGGGGGGGGGGGGGGGGAGAGGGACTCAGACCAGACGGAACAGGGAAGGCACACAAAAATTGAATAATTCGAAATTTTAAAAAAGGAAAATGACAAAAAATTAATTACTTTTAAAAATTATCTTCATAATAAGTTGGAAGAGGGTTCAACTAACTATATGAGGGCGCAAAGCTGATTGCTCCTAAAATGGCGGAAGGGGGGGGGGCGTTTCTTCGGCGAGCAGTGTGCCTGCCGTGCGGCCGTCACCGCGCGCATTTCTCCCCTTAATTACAATATGCACGGCGCTTTGTTGGGAAAAGTCCTCGCTCGGAATGCAGCCCATTAATGGAGCAATGGGGCGTGGCGTGGCGGGGCGAGGCTGCGCGGGCACACGCCGTCCCGTATACTGATGCCGAGGCTCGTTTTCGTCGCTCTCTCTCTCTCGCACCCGTACGGGACGCCCATGAGTGCGAGAGAGACAGAGCGACTCTCTGGCGGTGCACCGGCTGTGCACACACGCTCGTCGGACACCGCGCCACTTTGATTCTCCCGCCACAGCGCGCCGCTTTCAACCTTCCAGTGCAGCCGCTTCTGCCGCGGTTGCAAACATTGACGGCGACGTGCATAATTACAGTGTGCTACGCGATGCCGCGCGATGCGGCCGACGTGTATTACCGCGCCATGAGCGGTCAACCGCCGCGGCAGAAACGGCCCGCGGGAAATTATACAGCGCGCCGCCAAACCCCAAGAAAATCTTTCGTCACGCGAAGAAAACCCGCGTTCGCACCACGCTCGCGCCATCTCCTTCGTAACAAGAATAACAATTTCTTCGCAAGGCTCGGAGCGCGCGAATGTGAAGTAAACGATCCCGAAGATCCTCTCCTCCTCATCCCTCCCGATCCCGTTCCGAGATCCATCCCGCCGGGGGCAGGGGAGGGGGAGGGGCTCCGAGCCCCGGAGACCTTGAGGTGGTTGCGCAGGGCCCCGCGGCTCATGGCGGTGCTGTGCAAGGCGGGGCCCCGGCGGGGGTCCCTCCGACCACCGGGAGCCTGGAGAGCCTGGCGGCGTGGAGGGTCTGCAGGGCCTGCAGGGCCTGCGCCGGGCTGGGCGGTCACTCACCTGGAACAGAAGGAAAGGAACACACCGTCAGACAGTGGAGGCACTCCCACTCATTAATGGATTCGGGATGTGGTCAAACTAATCGGACCCAGGCCGGCGGAGGCTGGACCATTTGGCTGGACCAGACAAGAGGTCACGCTGCTGCCGAAATAACCTTATCGGTCGGGTTCTTGTGAGCAGCAGGGAGAGTGCGGCGACGCGACAGCCGCCGTCCAGAACCCTCCAGAGCACTACCGCCCGTCTGAAGGTAGGCGAAAAGTGTCACATGGTCCTCTCCGAAAAAATAAATTCTAGAGCCGTTGTTAAACCCTGCAAAACCCTCAACATCGCGAACCCTCACGCCCGCTGTGACCTCACTCACTCCTCACCTCAGCTCAAAATGACTGCCGTGCCTCCGCCAACGCGGTCGGCATGGCCTGGAACATGACTGGCGCCGCCAAATTGAATGGCTCCGAGAAGTGCGGGCCGGGCAGACCACGCACGACGCCCAGCCTTGGTGCCGTGGTCTCGGTGAACTTCAACGCGCGACCTTTTCGAATAATGCGTTTAATTAGCACACAGCGTGCGCGTACGCATGAGTGCAAAGTTACGACCGCGGCCTTACGACAGCGCGACACACCGTAAGCGAGCGCTGTGCTAGGCAGTGCTACGCGCAGACGTAAATAACCAAACGGTTGTCGATGCGAAATTGCTATTCCAGCGATAAAGACGCTATCGCAAATCATGAGGCAAACAGTAATGCTTTTAATTGGTCGTCACGGCAACGCGGCGACGAAAGACAAGGCGCGCGGTGCGAGAGAGACAGAGCGACCAAAGCACGGCCAAGCACGGCCAACGTGGGAACGCTGGGTCTTTGTGGCGCTCCATCTCGTCGGCACGGCCAAACGGCCGGACGAGTCGGCAGCATCTCACGCCGGTTTCTTTGGACGCCTCGGCGGCGAGGGGCGAGGGGCCGGGGCACCCGAGGGCACCCCGTCCTTTGTCCGCCCTGGCGACATCTCTCCGCGCAGCCAAGACGCGACAACAAACAGTCGTCGGAAGCGGCGGGCAAAACTCCGAGGTGTTGGTTCTCCGAATCGAGAGAGCCCATGAAGGCAAATTTAAGCATCCGGCACGTCGGGGGAATCCAGCCCCGATTTCTTCAGAGTGAAGTCGAGCCCTAGAGCTTCCATTTTACGGCCCCCTAAACAAGTCCTCAGACTGGACCACTGTGCTGCGCGCCCCTGCTCGCCTGGCGTAGCCACTGCGAATTCGAGATGCATGTGGACACGAGTGCGCCACGCTCCACTGCAGGCTCACTCCCAACAGTGCTGCGCCGCGCCCGGCCGCACCGCTGCGGGGCTCCGCACGAGTGCGAGAGAGACAGCGACGTTGCCCGCTGTGCTCCACGCCCCGCCGCCACGCTCGGAGCGCGCGCGGGTGGCGATAGTCGCAAACGACCGTGACCAATCAGAAGGGCTGGCCGGGCAAGTGCACCAGAAAGGCAGCCCGGGCCGCGTCCATGCATACATGCATGCAGGCAATGGGGCAGCCAGCAGAGCGAACACCTGTCTCTGTCTCTCTCGCTCCCGCGGGGCGCTGCGTGAGGGTGAGAGAGAGACAGCGACCAAACGCTTCAGACTTCTGAACAAAGCCAGGCCCAAGGGGGGCTGACTCCTATAATACTTCGTACACAGACCTATAATACTTGTATAATACCTATAATACTATAATCCATAATACCAAAAAATGCCGCACATTTAGTGCAGTTTCGGGTTCAAAATGAGAAAGTTTTGTAAAATTGTGGTGAACAGGCGTTCAGCGATTTTTAGACGGATCGTTAGAGTAAGGAAATGGCGCTAAGGCTGATGACAAGGTGCTGAGGCTCTTAAAGATGCGCGGTAGTATTTTGAGGCTCAGGAGTGCAAGCCGGAATCCTTGTTTTCAACTAACTTGCGTATTTCGGAAACCTTCGGTACACGGAAAACCACTTAAAACGACACAATTATCTAAATAAAATGTTCGGAATAATACCTATAATACTCTATAATACCTATAATATATAATACTTCGTACACGGTTCGGGAGAGTCAGCCCCCCTTGGCCAGGCCATGCGTTTCGGACCGACTTCCCCGACGGGAGGCGTTCAAACAAGAAAAGCAACTCGGAAATGAGGAAATTGTGTCACTCTAATTCACTTTGAGTCGGAATATAGTGCACAAACTGCACGAATATATTTTTTTGCTTTCCATTTTGCAAAATAAAACAGCCAAAAGCGGAACATTCGCCCTACAGTCCTCCGGCACGGCAGCAGGGTGCTGTGCGGCGGCGCAGGTGAAGTGGATGAGCGATCGGGGCGCTCCGTCACGGGCCCATCTGGAATACATGAGCCGGGCGGTCACGTAGTCACGTAGTGCGGGCCGCCCCGGGCCGCCCCTTCCCCGCCGCCAGCGCCGCCACTGTAACTAACGTGCGGGGCAACGTTTTCTGGAGCCCGTTACCGCCAGGTTACAACCCAGCGAGCACCCCGTCGAGGGGTCACCCGACCGGCCCGGCCCAACATTGCCTTGGTTCCAGTCCCATTTAGTGACTCTGGAGCTCAAAACGCGTCTAGAATTTTGTCCGCCTCCGCCGGTCTTCTGGCCCACTGTGCGGCGGCAGGGGCGAGGCAGGCCGCCCGCTCCACAGCCGCGCTCGACGGCACTGCCTACCCGGGACTTCGCAGGCGCTCCCACCGCCTTTGCCAAAACTTCGAAAAGGGAGCGCGCTTTGCAAAGAAGACTGACGCGCCAGGCCGGGCAAAGCAGAGCCAGGCAGAGCAAGGCTGCCACTGTCATTTTCGCGACAGGTGCGTTTTTCCAGCGCAGTGGCAAGGCCACGCACAACGCCCGCACCGCGCCGCGCCCTTGGTGATCCGCAGCATCCACCAGACTGCTCTCTCTCTCTCTCGCTCTCATGGCGCGTCCCGTCTGGGTGCGAGAGAGACAGAGCGACGACTCTCGGAATCGGTCTGCAGACGGACGCAAAAAGCGCGAGCCGGAGCAGCCAGAGCCAGGGTCGCAGAGCCGAGCAAACGCCGAGAACGAAACCAGCCAAGTAAAGCAGTCTAGTTCCTCGGGAAAGGAACGGCCCATTAGAAGCAAGCAGAATCATTCCGAGAGTCGTCTCTCTCTCTCTCTCTCGCACCTACAGGGGAAGCCCCATGAGTGCGAGAGAGACAGAGCGACGAAAACGACTCTGTCTGCAGCGTCAAACAAGCACAAGCGGCGCGTTGTCTGGGTGGCTGCTTGCGGTTTCCCGGCATCGCGGGCCGCGAGGGTGCGAGAGAGACAGAGCAGGGCGTTGCACTAACAGGGGACTACTCGTTAGCACCTCAGCCAGTCGCCTCGTCCCGCGGGGCCCGCCTCACGTCACGAACGTCACACCGCCGGGCCCTCGGCCAGGCCGGCGGCGTGACGAAGTGACAGCCCCTGTTGCGTCACACGAAGACACCCGCCGCCAATTACTTTACCAGGCTTCCCCGCCGACGAGGCTAGCTGCGCGTGGTGTTCACTTTCGGGTTCGATCTATCGAATCGACGAGGTGGAACATGAGCAAGCCCCACCGCGTCTTGGAACAAGATCAATTTCTTCAACTTTCTGCATTTAAAAAAAAATCTAAACCTGCACCACGCGAAAAAAAAATTAAGGGTCGGTTAAAATGCTCGATTTTCTTCCCGTGCGCTCGGAATGAACTCGGGACGTTCCACGACTTCCGAACTACTTGGAGAGCACTGGACCACCCACGAACAAAAGCCAAGTAAAAACGGTAGCCAATGGTGGAGTCTCTGCGCTTCAGGCGCGCGTCGCGGCGTCGCGGCGTCGCGGCGTCGGCATGGCAACGCCGTGGCATCGCCGTGGCAACGGCCTGGACGCGGTAATCCCTCACTTTTTGCCCTTCCCTCAATGCCAATGGTATCACATCATTCCCCCGCCGCGCGCGGAAAAGACCAAAGAAGTCTTTCCTCATCAAGACAATCCAGGCATGGCAGGGCAGGGCAGGCACATCGAAAGCCATGCCATCCCGGCGGAAAAGCGAGACTGCAGTAATTACTCCAGTGGAGGTGGACAAGACGCGGCCACTCAATTTTAACGACTTATTTCTCCCGACTAAAAAAAACAAAAAAAAAAACACGCAAAAAAGGCGACATTTCACTATCGAAAAGAAGGATTCATACGCCGCCTCCACCGACTCAGGCGAGAACGATGACCTAAGGAACAAAACTTTTGCAATGGAATAAAGAGTTTAGTGGTTAGCACCAGAACCAGCGTCGCCCCTATAGCAGGGTACGGCCACACTGCAGCCAAAGTGCCAGCCTCTCCCTTACGGGACGCAACGCGAGTGCGACAGAGACAGAGCGACGCCAATTAGCGTGACAGTTTTCCGTTGGCTGACTTCATTCCGCAAACATGGACAATTTGGTTGCTTGCCGCAGCCGTGCGCAGCCTAAACGCCGGGCGGACGCGGCGGACGCGGCGGACGCCACACCGTTAGGTGCTTCATTCACACAGCGACGGACAATAACCCGAGCCCGATTTCGTAGTCGTGCTGATAGAGTTGCGACCGAGGGGACAGACAGACGGACGGACGGACGGACGGACGGACGGACGGACGGACGGACAGACAGACAGACTGCGTCCGGCGAGGGCTAAACCGCGGTACGCGCGACGCGCGGGCCTCGACGGACAACCAGGCCCCAGGCCGGCCCCGCCCCGCCTGGCCGGCCTAGCAGCGCCACCGGCAGAGCGGCTTAGAACTTGCAGAGCTTCCCGGCCACGCATATAACCATAACACGCGGATACGACAAGCGGCGCTGGGAGGCGCGGCGCAGGTAGCAAATGTCAGGCGGGGGAAGGGAAATGTGCCTGGCGCCCGTCCGGCCGCGGAGGAAACCTTTCAAACGCCGAGCGCTTTTTAAACACGCCGGGAAAAGCGAGGCTAGCTGGACGCGCCCGGCCACGGAGAGGGAAACGAAACGCCAAAGGGACGGGCGGGCCGACCTTGGCGAACTGACGGCCGCCCGGGCCGCCCTATCCTCCATCAGCTGCAATCAGAGCCCTGCCTCGCGGGGGGGGGGGGGGGGGGTTCAAAAACCACCAGAGACGTCTCTGCGATGCGAGATAGCGCCGTGACCCCCCCTTCTTTTCAAAGCGGTACGTGGTTAAGTGTACGAAGGCGCCGCTAGAGGTCGCCCGAGTCACGCCCAGCCTCTATCTCTCTCTTCCCGGACAAAGGAACACAAACGAGTCGGCCAGGCGAAGTGCAGTGCAGCAGGAGAACGGCCCAGACGGCCCCGCCCAAACCAGCTCCCGTGGGACAACAACCGCGGACGTCCCCGCCCCGCCCCGCCGGCCAGCGCCGAGCCGCGCAGAGCTGAACTTGAACTTGAGCGCGGCGAGGCGGCTGGCTAGGCCCAGCGCCCAGCCAGACACGCCACGCCCGGCCCGCATGTTTGCATTCGACTGCCCCTCTCTCGTACACCAGCATGGCGGGCGGCCGTCTCGCTCCGTCTCCCTCGCGCTCTGTTGTTGTCTCAGCTGTCCCGCAGTTCGCACTCACACACACACAGACGCTCACCTGCGCGAGCACGCCGATGACTAACGCGCCGATAACGACCAAATGGGAAAACACCGTAGCATTGCTGTTTGACTCCGCGACGCCGGCGGAGGCGGCCAAAACTCGAGACGCGTTTTGAGGTCGAGAGTCGCTAGACAGGACTCGAACTGAGCGTGTGACCCCACCAATGGATTGCTCTCCGGACGAGGAATCCATTGGTGGGGTCACAGGTTCGGTTCGAGTCCTGTTTAGCGACTCTGGAGCTCAAAACGCGTCGGGGATTTCGGCCGGTCTTCTGGCCCACTGTGCGGCGCCGCAACTCACCTCGAACAGCGCGTTGTACAGGTCTGGCTGCAGGGCGGTCTTCACCTGCGCCACGGCCCGCTTGTTGGCCCGGACCTTGAGGTCGCGGGACCGCGACACGTACATCTTGGACAGAATCTTGGACGACTTGGGCGAAACCGGAGGGCGGGGGCGAATGCGACACTCGGCGCTTCTTAGAGTCAGTCTCTGGGCGGCGAGCCGCACGCGAATCGGCCGTCGGCGTGGACACGGCGTGGACACTGGCGGGCAGGGCAGGGCGTGCTGGCGGGGCGAAGCTGCACTGACAGTCTCCAGCCGGGCCAGCCAGAAAGCCGGAACCACGCCAATCACGCACGCGGCAGGGACGGAACGACGCAGCACGGCACAGGTGCTGCTGCCGGCGGCGGTGGCGCGCGTCAGAAACACGCCTGCGACAGTCTCTCCCCTCTCTTTCCCTCTCACACAGTGAGTGGTAAAGGAGCGTAAAGGAGAGACAGAGACGGTAGTGTGCCGCCCTTGAATGAGGGTAGAGTCCTTTTCGAAGCGTTCGGTGACGACATCACCTTCGCTCTCAATGGACAACCTGTCTTGGTCTGGGTTGAAATCGGAGCCGAAATTCAAGTTGCCGTGACGTCATTCGTGCACGCGGCTTTAGAAACGGCGACTCGCATTGCTCGCATTGCTGCCCCCCCCCCCTCCCCGCCAACATGGCTTCGGCAAATCTCTGCGAATGTCGAAGCCCTACGACACACGCCGCGCGCATCACAACGGAGAAGCGACGCATGCAGGAAATACAATCGGAAAAAAAAATTAAAATAGAGAAAGAATAAAATAAATAAAGGCGCCTTCAGATCAATTTGTAGTTGGCTTCCAGAGGTTCTAAAGCATGCGTAGTGACCAAAATATTTTGAGGCTCCACTAGCCAATGTACAATTTTTTTTTTCGCGGTGCTCGAGCCTTCACTACAAATACGGGATAAAAGGTTACTCGGCTGATAAACACTCGCTGCGTACAATGGGTCGTTAGGCCGCTACACTGCCGAAACTGGACGCTGATTGGTGGTTGTTCGCGGTTACCGGCAGCCAATCAGGGCTGAGCAAGCCACAGGGCGGGTCGGGGCGATGACGACGCGAGGGGGTGGCGAAACATGACTCATTTGGCGTCCATTTAGCACAGCGCAATAACCGCAATGCAAGACAGCAGGGGGCGGCCCTTGCAGGCCTCAGGTCCAGGGTTCGAATCCCCGCAGCCCCGAGCCCCAGTTTTTTTTATTTCCTCCTAAGTCCGGCGCGGCTTCCACAGTCTAATAATGAAGTAACGGAGAGGCGGAGATGGGGCGCTCGGATTGGCGGGCCGGCCGACCGGCACACTGTGGGGCACACTGTGGGGCACGCGCCCCGCGTCGCCTCGCCACGCGCCGTGCTGATGTAGGCTGCGCCGCTGCGGACTGTGTCCGGCCGGCAGATTATAAACCCTAACGGACGGGGCCGCTAAGGCCGGCTAAGGCCCTAACGGCCGGCACGCGGGGTGAGCAGGGCCCCGCGAGAACTTTCTGTCTCTCTCGCACCCGTGAGGCGCCCCGCGTAGGTGCGAGGGAGACAGAGCGACGACTCTCGGAATCCGTCTGCGGGGCGAGGCCCAGGGCGAGGCCCCGGGGCCCCGGGCCTGGCCAGGCCGCAAGCCCCCTTACCGGAACGGCCGGCTAACCACGCGGCGTTTACTTTGTTCAGGCCGAGGGCCTGGCGCGGCACGGCGCGGCACGGCGCCGCGGGGCGCAAACATTTCGCAGTATTTTATTCCGGACCCACTTCCTGGTTTGCACGCACGGAGCACGGCGGCCGGGCAGCGGAAACGCGGAGAAAGAAGCAAAAGGGCGCCGTCACTCGTCAGTGGGCCGTGCCGCCGTGGAGCCGTGGCGCCCGCCCTCGTTGGAGGAGAGGAGCGTCTGCCGCCAGCAAAACAACAACAACAACAACAACAACAACAACAACAAAAACAACAACAAAGTATCTGCAGGGCGCTGGACAACAGGAACCGGAATGTTTGCAACCAAGTCGGCCGCCCAACCAATCGAAACGCTCATCGATTAATCGCGATTGCGAGACGGACCGCTAATTAATCGTCGGCCAAACCCATTCATTCATCGCGCAAACCCAGACAGCGATCGAAGCGAACCCAAATGGAATGACTTGATGCACTTGGCCGGGTCGTCCCGGGCACACTGCGAGTGTCAACACAGTGCTAACAGTGTCAACGCCACGGGGCCGAGTTAGGTCCCCGCGACCCGGCCGGCCCCACCGGCCCGACGGCCGCGGCGGGGTTCCCGTGGGAGTGGCGTCGCGTCCAGCACACTGACTCCTCGAGCCGCCTCCGTCGCTCCGTCTCCCTCGCGCGTCGTCCCGCAGAGGAGCGAGAGAGACGGAGATCGGACTCTCGGAATCAGTCCGCGCGGCCGGGATTTATTGCCCGGCGAGGCGCGGCCGGGAATTACCAGCAAAGAGAATAAAAGAGGCGAAATTAATTGGAGACGTGATTGCCAGTCATCATCGGCCCGCCAGGGAGACGACGCGCGGCGGGGCTCTTTCGGGTTTTGAAAAGTGCACTGCACTGCAGTGGCGACATGTATTTTTTTCGAACATTTCTGAACTAAGTTTGTCGACCAAACACTTTCCGCAAAGTGTGTCGGCGGCGAGTTGGATCGCGTTCAAGGCGAGGCCGCCACTGCCGGAGCCTTCGGCGCCTTCAGTGCTCCGCACGCGTTGAGGTCTCCTCCTCGCTCACGGGGCCGCCGCCGTGGCGTCGCGGCGTGGCAAAACAGGGAGCCGAAAACAAAACGACAACAAAAACAAGGCAGCATAAACAACAAGACGCGGCGCGGGCGTGACGATGCGCACCGCCCACGACCGCCGAAATTAACTTCAAATTCGTTCCCATTCCCCTCTTTTTCTTCTGCCGGTGTACCGGCCGGCCGGGCCGGCGCTGTCCTTGGCCACTGATACTGTCACTGGCCGAGCAGCGCCGCGCAGCCCGCTCGCCAGTCACCGCCACGCCGGCCGGGGCGGTGCCATGCGCCGAGTGAAACGTGGTGCACGTGCAGGCAGCACACTGGCTCCGAGGGCCGTTTTCGTCGCTCTGCCTCTCTCGCACTCATGGGGCGTCCCGTGTAGGTGCGAGAGAGGCAGAGCGACAAGAACGACTCTCAGTGTGCTGGACGGCCGGGCCGGGACGGGCTGCCCCCATCTCTGTTTTTGTTCCTTAATCTCGTTCTTGCGGTTATCTCGGCACACGTTCCACCGCCATGGAGACAGACGGACGGACGGACAGACAGACGGACAGACAGACAGACGGACAGACAGTGCCGTGCGCCGCACGCCGACTTGTCACGTTACCAAAAACGGCGGCACGCCGCCATCTCGTTACAACATTTCTCGCATCCCGTGGCGGCGGGCCCGGGTTCGAATCCCTCATCAGGATCAAGGATTTAATTTAATTTTTTTTCCGCTTCACTCACTCCCCGAGCTGGACATATATAAAGGACCTTTCACGTGCGGACGCCATGGGCTGGTGCTGCATGGCGGGGCGGGGCGGGGCTAGTTAGGCACACAGTCGCTAATAAGGTAACCACAACGAGTGGCTGGCCGGGAGCGAGATGATGATGATGATGTCCGCGGCCACGCGCTGTACCTCCGCGACGGCGGCCGCTTCTTGCCGCCGGCAGTGAACGCGGCCAGGCGGCCGACCGGCCGAGGAATGCCGCCGGGACGCTCCGGATGCTCCTGTTCCTCGCCTTCCCCGCAACACGGTCGCGGCGACGACAGGCGGCATGCGACGCGACGACGCGTTCAAAAAACCGCCTCGCAAAAACCGGCCTCGCCTCGCGTCGCGTGCGCGCGGCCTGCCCGTCGCGGGCAGGTGTTGGCCGGTGCGCGCACCGCTTCGTCGCTCTGTCTCTCTCGCACCCTGTGGAGCGCCCCGTGAGTGCGAGGGAGGGGAGCGAGCGCCGTGCTGGGTAGGCAGCCACGCCACGCGCCGGCGCGTCGCACCGCTCCGGCGGCCTACCCAGCACGGCGCTCCACGCCGCCAACGTCCAGTCCGTCGAGTTGGCGGACGATGGACGACGACGCGGTGCTTGTCCTTGTTCGAGGACTGTCGTCGCCGTGCCGCCGTGCCGCGGGGCTCAGGTGGCAGGAACAATTGCCGAAACTGTACCGCCCCGCCGGTGCACCTGGCCGACCGGGTCCGAAGCCAGCCGGCCGACGGCGAGATGCCTCCGCCTCGGCTTTGCTCGCTTTGCTTGGCGTCGGCGCCATTGTCGCCGTTTTCTTTAAATGCCGGCAACACAATGGCCTGCCTGTCGGTGCACTGTCGGCCGGCGCCGTGGACCAGCACGCTGCCGCCGAACGCCCTCGCTCTGTCTCCCTCGCACTCACGGGGCGCCCCGTGGGGCTGCGAGAAGAGAGAGAGAGATGAGGGGCAGTCCACACGGCGAGGCAGCAACGGTCAAGCGGGCGCAGGGCCCTGCACTCGTCTTGGCCAGCCCGCCGGTCAAACCGCGCGTTCTTTCAACAACGATTATTTAACAGTGTACCTCCCTTCTCGGCACTCCCGCGAAACGTGGCCGAGCCCATCCGGGCCGCTGCGACCTTCTCTCTCTCTCTCTCTCTCTCTCTCTCTCTCTCTCTCTCTCTCTCTCTCTCTCTCTCTCTCTCTCTCTCTCTCTCTCTCTCTCTCTCTCTCTCTCTCTCGCCAAAGAAACACCCGCCGCGGACCGCGCCGCCGCGCTCTGCAAAGTTCAAGGGAGGCAGCGCCACACAATGCAAGCGCAACAAAACCGCTCCGCTTCCGCTAGGAGCCGATTTGGCGCCTTGTTGTTGTTTGTTGTTGTTGTTGTTGTTGGAGTGAGCGGTGCGGCGGGCCTGGACCACCCGTCCGCGACAGCAGCAACGCGCCGTTCGAAAAAAAAAGGTAGCGTCCTTGCACCAACAATGACATTCTCTGTCTCTGCCAATGTTTGTCTCAACAAAGAAACAATATCTGTAAAATTGGTTTCTGTTGCGGCAGCAATAATGCCAACGCTCTTGGGGGATATTCGTTATTTGAGGAGAAGACTGCTCCGGCCGCGTCATCGCACAGCCAGGGCACTGCATGGCGCTGCACTGGAAGCAAGGCAGCAAAGGGAGGGTGCACTGGGTGCCGATTGTTGGTTTTGGCAGTGCCGCACAGGGCCGCACAGTGCTGCAGGCCCATGCAGGCCATTGTGCCCCGCATTGTTGCATTGTGCTCGGGCCGCGTGAAGGCCGCCAAGGCCGCCAGGCTCCCTTGGGACACCGCGTCC